TCAGAGCTACTCTTCATGAAACTATCAAAATTTGGCTTCAAAGACTTACCAGTTTTTTTCGGGTCTAAAAATGCCAGTTTTCCTCATCTGCGCTAAATTTCACATCGTAGTGAATTCTTCCTCGAATAAACGGAAAAAAAATTGTTCAGCGAGAAAATAAACAATCAGTGTGAAAACTTTGCTAAACACGGTTGTTTCTCACATTTTCACGCGAGGTAAAATTCGTAGCAAATGAAGAAAACTGGCATTTTTAGACCCGGAAAAAACTGGTAAGACTTTGAGATCAAATTTTGATAGTTTTAGGAAGGGTAGCTCTGATCATTTGCTCTAGGCCTATGTCAATATTTTACTGAAAATCGAAGGAAAGGTTGTTTAAAATGGACATTGAAAACGGACTTTTTAGAGAGTAAAACCTGAATTTGCGCTTAATAGTTTCCATTAGAGTAGGTCGCAATGATTTTGTTTTTTTTTCAGCAAAATCAAGCAAGTTATTCAGGCTCAATTTTATTTTGCTGCGGTTTGTTCATTTTCTTTGTTAAAAGAAGGCAAAGGGCACTATCGAACTGCCAAAATGTTTAGGTCACAAAAAACGTGATTGATTTCTTTCAAAAATGAATCTAATTATCAGACATCCTAGCGAAACAAAAATTTTGCCTTTTGATCCAGTTTTCTCAAATTGCGTTAATTTTGTCAAAAAAGTTTCAATCATAAATGCATGTTTTGATATCGAACTTGTTTTTTAATCAAACACATTTCTTCTAAAGAGCATTTTCTGATTAATATCAGAACTTTGTACAATAAATTGGAAAGATTTACCATCTGCAAATAATTTGTTAAGTTCAGAGGCTTTGGAAATTTTGGCTAGTCTGAGATTTTTTTTCTGATATATATTGCTCTTTTCAAACGCAATCAGCTCAGCAATTCAACTTGAACTGATCTAAACTTTTTTTTCTTGTTAATACATGATTTGCAAAGTATCACTTTTCTTAGAGCCTGAGAAAGATTTCATACAAAACCTGATTTAAACAAAAATAAGCTTTTGCTGTGAAAATAGCTCAGAAGGTTACGAACATATATTTTTTCAAATTGGTGTCGTTTTTTGTGCATGAAATAATTAAAGCAAGCCTTGAAATTAGAGATATTTGAAATCATAGTAAAAATGAGCAACAGTTTTTGTCTAAAATAGTGCAACAAATCATTATAAAGATAATTTCTAATTCTTTTTCATTTTTTCTAAAGATTTTTTTTTTAATTTTGAAGTTTTTCATTCCCAAAATGTCGCTCTAGTAGCTTTCGGAAACTAACTTTACCGAAAAAAAAACTAAATTTTTGGGGCTTGAACAAACTTTCACGGCTCATCGTTCTTTAAAAGGCCTCCTCGCTCTCTATACTCGCCGCTTGAAATGGAAACAAAATCAATGGTTTCACTGGAACAATTTTCTGAAACTTTTCATAATTCGTTCGAATCACGGCTGAAAAAGCATCATTTTGATTTTTTGCTCAACCCAATACTACACTAGAGAATTTTAGTAAGCGTTAAGTAATATTATTTCTGGTGGCAAATTTATGGCATTTTGATAGCATGTGCTTTGTCATTCGAGTATTTATAAGTTAACGCAGTTAACACAATTGCATTTTGATTCTTCAAATGAATCGAAAAATGCTATTTGTTTCAAGCAACATAACAATCATAAAAACTCGATTTCAGAAATTTTCCAACTCATTATATCCCGCAATTTTTAAAATGCATGATTTATACATAATTTGGCTTGGTGTTTTCCAGTTTATTACATGCAAAGTTGGTGTGGATGCTTTTAGTTGGCTATATTCAAAATTATTACTTGCAATGTTTTGCATATTTGTAATTGGTGCCTTCTTTGTTGCATCGCATTGAAAGTTTTGTAGAATACGTAGCTGCTTTATTTGCGACTAGTGTTTGCCGATTGTTGAGCGTTCGTGGTCGAGAGGGCAGTGCGTGAGACTCCAATTCTTGAGGTCGCACGTTCGCAACCAATACGTAGCAAAGTTTTACTAATTCGGAGCTGATTTTTTTTCTTCTTATTTCACTTCATAAAGCTGCTTTTTTGTCGTGTTCTTGTAGTGTTTGGAAAGCGCAGCTTCGCCTCTAAGTAATGGTTTTTGTGGTACCTGATTTTGCGTGGTAAGCAAACAAACTAAGACAGCTGAATACAATGCTCCTCCCTTTTTCAAAGTTCAGAATTTACTTCATAGTTCACTGGCCATAAAAAGCAGTCAGAACTTTCAACGATTTAGTACGACCCTCGGAGCAGCAACTTTTCGACTGATTGCAGAACCCTTTGATTACGCTCCCCTAAATTAGTAGCGCTCCCCATATATGAAGATTCATTTCAGACTAATTCTTACGCTTCTGATTAACCAGTAAGCGTTATCAAATCGGAATATATATATTTTTTCCAGCCAATCAAAATTTCCATCGGATCTTCTTTTTGAAGATATCGATATTTTTTTTCGAAACTTGTTTTTTTTTATGTTGGAACAATTATTTTCAGTTTTTCATTTTTACTAAGATCAAATTTTGTTCTTTTTTTCTACTTACTTGGTTTAAAAGTTTCCGTTTATTTTTTATTATTGTTTAAGTGGTTGCTAAGAAAAAGATTTTTAATAATCGCAACTTCAAAACAAAACGTATGTTTTTGCATTTTCTTGCAGTCTTTCGTTTTTGCAGCGTTTTTTTAGCTGAACTGTTTGCGTTAGATGTTTCTTTTATTTACCTTAATTATGCATGAAATGTTTGTTGCTTTGCTATTATTGACGTTTCTGATAATTAAATTACCGATTAGTTTATAGAAGTTGATATTTTTCTATTTTTCTGCTCTTGGACCCATTCTGCTCCTAGACCATTCTGCTTATTGACTGGTCACCCCCGTGCTTATTTATTTGTACTCCGTTTAGTCTCTCTCTCTCTCTATATATATATATATATATTAATCTATATTTACTATGTCTATTATTATGCGCTAACGCTCTATACGACTCCCTTCAAGGCCACTTTTGACCAGTTAAAGCGTGTGGATGTTTATCTTGCCCTATAGCCAATGTTGTTCTATAGCCAGTTATTTTATTCGAGTAACTTATCTATTCAATGCAAAACAGCGTTTTTAAACGTTTCTTCTAAAGTTTCCGATAAAGTTTATCTAACTAATAACTTTACATGTTCTATCTATTTATATTACTTTAAAAATTACTATTTGCTTTTAACCCTTCCATCTTAAATCAGTAGTGGGCAGGTTATGTCACTGGCTATATATGATCGCATGCATGTTTATCTCCTAAGACCATAAAGAGCAGTCCGAACTTTCAACGAATTAGTACGACCCTCGGAGCAGCAATTTTTCGACTGATTGCAGAACCCTTAGACATTTGATTACGCTCCCCTAAATTAGTAGCGCTCGCCATGTAAATGAAGATTCATTTCAGACTAATTCTTACGCTTCTGGTTAACCAGCGAGCGTTATCAATTCTATATATTTATAAATCTTTTCCAGCTAAACAAAATTTCCATCAGATTTTTATTGAAGATATCGATATTTTAAATACCGATTTTATTCGAAACTTGTTTTTTTTATGTTGGATAAATTGTTTTCAGTTTTTCATTTTTTACCAAGTTCATTATTTTGTTGTTTTTGTTCCGACTTTCGATACGAAAGTAACGGAGTATTTGTGCTCGGAGTGGGTTTTTTTCTTCGGACAATTTTCTACTATTTAACTAGCCATTTTTGACGGAATTTTTTTATCATTCGAAAGGTATTGTTGTCCTGAGCTTAAATTTGAAAACATGTTTCACCTGTGATCATTTTTCGTAAAAATATGAGGGTTTAAAAGTTGCCATTTTGGCCATTTTGACCAATTTGTGACAATTAACGCGCGATATAATTCGAGCTATTGCGTAAGCGGAGATTTAATCCGTTCTAGAAATTGTTCCAAATTGATTGAACGAATCGTTTTTGCCATTATTGAGTTGTTACAAGGAAATAAATCTATTCTTTTCTACTTTATATGGCCTGTGGGGGGATGATTTTCCTACAAAATTTCAAATTTTAGAAAAAAAGTTTCATTTTGTTTTATTTCATTTAATTTCTTAATGTTATTACTGCTCCATAAACCTTAAAAGGCAGTCGGAACATTCAGGGCTTCGCCCTGATACGAGCAGTCTTATTCTTTTTCTATTTATTTGGCTTAAAAAGTTTCCGTTTATTTTGTATTATTGATTTAGTGGGTGCTAAGAAAGGGATTTTTAATAATCGCAACTTCAAAACAAAACGTATGTTTTTGCATTTTCTTGCAGTCTTTCGTTTTTGCAGCGTTTTTTTAGCTGAACTGTTTGCTATAGATGTTTGCTTTATTTTCCTTCCGTTCTATGACGTCGAACCTTTTAAAAAAACCAGCTGGATAATTTCCATTTTTTTGTCTCATGAATATAAATGGGAGGTGGTGCAAAAAGCAGAATGGTCTAAGAGCAGAAAAACTGAAAAATATTAATTTTTATTGATTTATACGGCCTAATTGATTAATTAATTATTATAGTTGTCAATAATACCAAGAAAATGAATAAAATATGCATGAAATTTGCATAAACTACTGCTTATTTGGTAATATTGACAATTCTTATACTTCACCGATTAGAGGATTAAATTTGATATTTTTCTGTTTTTCTGCTTTTGGGCCCATTCTGCTCCTAGACCATTCTGCTTATTGACTGGCCGCCCAATCGCGTATTCCGACTCGTCAGTAAGCAGATAATTACTTTATTAACCAATCAGAATCGAGACAAGGAAGAAATTAATAAATTTTAATTATTTATTTCGAAAGTTTGCTTTCTCATCTCGATTCTGATTGGTTAAAACAGTGTTTGTCTGCTTACTGACGAGTAGTGTTTGTCTGCTTACTGACGAGTAAGAATACGCGGTTGATTAAATACAGACCGCACTCCCGATCTATTTTAACTGGGAGCTGTTCTGCTGAAAAGCGATCCGTTCTTTCTGTAATATTTCTCAGAAATTAAAAACAAACGTGCGGGGAAAAAACAACATTGAGTGCGCGGAAAAAGCAATTCCTAAAACGCGCGGAGTGATGAACAAGAACCACGGCGAATAGTGTTTTTTGTGTGTTTGTGTACTCATATATGGGTGCCGGACATCAAGCCGACGGGACTTCAAGCCGAATCGTAAAATTAGGGACTTCAAGCCGAAAATTTTCTCATTAAGTCATGAAATAAGGTTATTTTGAAAACTTTTTTAAAAGAATTTCTCAATTTCATGATCTTTATTCGGTAATTAATAGCGTTTTCACGAAATTTAAAGCTCCAAATGAAGTATAGGAAAAGTGAAAAATAAAACACGGTTGAAGGTAATTTTCTTGTTTATAATTTATGCATTTCAAAAAACGGCTGATATTATTAACTTATGCCAATCATAAGTAATTCATTGTCATAAATAACGCTTATTATGGACTAAACTAGCCTGAAATTTTGAAAAGAAACGTTTTACAGATGAAAAAAATAATGGTTTGAGGTGCTTGTAAAGTTTAATTTTCGGCCTGAAGTCCCTTCGGCTTGAAGTCCCGTCGGCTTGTTGTCCTAGACCCCTCATATATATACTATTTTAAGGAGTGCAGCCAGTATTTAGACAGCCGCGTATTCATACTGGTCAGTATTTAGACAAATACTGTATGAACCAATCAGAATCGAGAAAAAACATAAATAATCCAAAATAAATAATAATTATTTATTAATTTCTTCTTTGTCTCGATTCTGATTGGTTGAAACAGCATTTGTCTAAATACTGACCAGTCTGAATACGAGGTTGTCTAAATACTGACATGTAACCAAATAAATAATAATTATTTATTAATTTCTTCTTTGTCTCGATTCTGATTGGTTGAAACAGCATTTGTCTAAATACTGACCAGTCTGAATACGAGGTTGTCTAAATACTGACATGTAACCCTATTTTAAACAGCTTTAAAATTGTTTCCATAACAACTACGTGGCTCAGAAGACAAGTCCTTATTTTGCACCTTTATTTCACATATTTTATCCAGCATCCTAATAATGGAAAGAATTTTCATCTATCTGGACGATGCGGAACATCCGAAAGCATTTAGAAAAGGTGATAATATTCTCGATCGGATTGCTCGTGAGTTTCAAAAAGAGCATCCGCCGCAAATCCTGTATGACATAACGGAAGATGAAGAAAATCGCGAGCCGATAGCCACCGAAAATCACACATTGGTTGCTGGAAGATCTTACCTGTGGAAGTTGGCCGAGGAAAAATGGCAGGACAAAGAGTTGGTGCAAAACGCATTGTTTTGTTCACGTGCTGCTTTCGAAGATAGACCCTTGAATTATCTGAAAGAGAATAAGAGATTTCACAGTGTAGCTCTTTTGATAGCGGCGAATGTTTACTTTGACAAACAAGCTGCTTCCGTATTTATATCACGTTCAGAAGGAACGGGCAAACAAAAAAAGACGCTAATTATTGCGTTCAGAGGAACCAAAACTCTTGAAGACGTTGTGGCAGACTTCAAAATTGGGTTCAAGACCGATTTGAATTTCGTTGGGAAAATTCATGGTGGCTTTTTAGAGCGAATGCAATCTGTTTCTACTGAGAAAATTTTCGAGATCGCCAACATAAACCAAGTTGATCAGATCTTAACTTGCGGGAGCTCTCTTGGAGGCGCAGTGTCTTCACTAATTCATATGAAGATGCTATCAGAACTTGAGAGCGCCGGCAATGATCCTGTAATAGATCCGAAGAACCTTGTGAACGTGACCTTTGCAGCTCCTATGCTCGGCAATTACGAGTTTGCAAAACACGTTGAGCTGAAACGGTATGCAAGAAACATGTTTCATTTTGCATACGTTGGTGACATTGTTCCGATTGTCTTGTCAGTTGGGCATGTTTTTGAGGTTTTAAAGCAAAATGTGCCCTCTGGGGTCATAGGCGTCCCGGGTGTCATTTCTTCACATCTTCAAAAAGCCATACCTTTGTTCAAGTTTTGTCTAACGGTCGCAGCAAATGTATTGGAAAATCCAGTGGTGAAGAATATACAGGGAGCACTGGAATCTCTGAAAGCTCCTCCGTCGACTCTGCATAATGAATATACTGAGTTAAACTACGTTCCAATTGGAAAACATTTGCTAATTCAGAAGTTAGACCAGAGTGTGAGCATTGAACATCTGAAGAATAACCCTAAAATAGTCGAAAGAGTTCTCCAGTCGGCGATTGAGTTCGCTGTCAAACATTCTCTGCATATTCGCAAATTCCACTCACTTAATAATTATCGAGATCTCATTAAGTCTTATTTAGGTGGGTTCAAGTCGTTCCAAAATACACCGATTTGCATTGAAAAGAAGGACTGCAGAATTTTCTTAGGAGAAAATGGTCACACCTACCAATTTGAAAGCGTCTGTTTGTTTTCCTGCGGAGCTTCTTGCATCAACACTCAGCCTTTGAGCCAAGAGTGTCGAGACGTCGTGTTTTGCAAGACCTGCTACGAGGATCCGGAAGCCATCGAGCACTTCTTCCATGTAACTTGCTCAGAAGAGTTTCATGTCAATCAAAAGGCAAATCACGTGACTCAAATGTTCGAATGGGAAAAGTTCAAGGACAATCCGGACGAATGGAAACGGATCTTCTATGATCCGGATGTAGACAGGCAAAGACGGCAGTTTTGGCAGGTTGTGCGAAGTGCTGCCAGTACCGCCGCAGTTCCAGTCAAACAAGTTCTTCAAAGCATAAAGTATAGCGATCGAGCTCTCATATTGGCGACAGAGTTGGCTGAAACCGTTGGAACGAGAGGGCTTCTAAACGTGACTTTGTCCTCAGCTAAGGCAAACGCAATTGGCGCAGCTGTGATGTTTGGAGCCAATTTAGCTATTGACGTCGTGCAACTTTTCCGCGGTAAGATCACTGCGAAACAGTTTGCGGTAGCCACATTTGAGAACTTCGCTTCAAGTGTAACTTCCGGAGTTGTGAGTTGGGGATGTTCTGCTGCAGGTGCCTTTGTAGGGAGCTTCTTGGGACCAATTGGAACCGTGGTGGGTTTTTTTGCAGGTGGGCTAATTGGAGGTTTTGCTGGTTACTGGTCTGGTAAAATGGGCGCCAAGAAAATTGCAGAGGAAATGGGATGGTGCAAAATACCAGAGGACGAACAGAAAGCCGATGTGATTGTGGACGCGCTGTTAATTTTGGAAGTTCCTCTTCCGAATGGAAATGTGGCAGAAATAAGAGAGGAGGATGTTATGAAATGCTTCAGGAGGAAAGCGTTGCGACATCACCCAGACAAGTTGCCGGCAGATGCATCTGAGAAGGAGAAGTCCGAATGCCTGATGGCGTGGGGGTTAATCGACTTCTCAAGAACTACACTAGTATCATATAGCAGGGACCCCCAGTCTCTTTCAGGAAAAGTGGTGGAGTTAGTCAACAAAAATTGGAAGCAAAAAAGGGATCAAGTCGATATGCAGCTGATGGAGAAAAAAATCAAAGAACTTAGAAAAATGCACAAGGCTGAGCTAGCGGTTAAAAAAGCGTAAGCATGTCAAAATTCACACAAAAGCTGACTAACTATCTTTTTCCATTCGAGTTCAAATTGAATCATTTTCTTTGGCATATGCCACATGGTAGAACTGAAGTTGAATAGATACTTTGTGTTCCGACCACACATTGTAGAGCTAAGTATTCGTGTGTATCTATTTTCATGAAATCATTTACCACAAGGAAACCTTGTAAATCGCCGAGTGAGTTATCATAATCAAGTCCTTGCCTTTGATGCTAACGTTGAGCAAAAACGAGCAAAACTTTGGTAGTTGGCGATCATTTTAAGTAAAATTATTTAAATAAATTGAATGTTTTTTTAAATCGAAAATTCGAAAACTAACAGCAGTTGAAGTTCGGACTGAAAATTAAAAAGATTCTCCAGTTTTTCTCAATTTTTTGAAAACCTTTTTTTGATTTTTCAAATACGCATAAAAAGTTTTTTTATTGATACCACTTGTGGCCCGTTGCGAGCTTTATTTGAGGTTGTCAAAATTGACTGGGTAAAAATGAGCCTATGAGATAATTGCATCCATTCTTTCGATAGTGGTCGGAACAATAATTGCTTAATTATGGAATGAAATATAATTAAATATAAGTGCTTTAATGATAGTATACGAATTAAGTACATGTTGTTATATTAGCCTAAAAATGTTATTTCTGATATTTTCTGTGATTCCTGATTTTTCCTGTACACAAAATATGGTCGAAAATATAAGGCATCATTAACTAGAATTTGTTATAATAACTAACTGGCAAAAAAAGAGATTTTATAATGGTTCAAGTAGACTGATTGAAGCTTACAAACAATCGGCAACTTTGGTAAATTTTATAATCTTTGCTTGTCGGTTAAATTTATTTAAATTAGATCTTTCCTGTAGCTCTTTCATTAACATCTTTGTTTAATCTCTTTAAAGTATATTATACGTTAATGCTTCGATGTTTTTGGTGTTATGTAGATATTATAGCGTGCTTTTGATACTTCTGTTTGATTAGCATCTGGTGAAGTTGAAAAATAAATTTAGTTTTGCGATTCTTTTCCCTTTTTGAGTCAGATAACAGGAAAAATCTGGTTCAACCTAAAAAAAGTTTTGCTCCTTAAGTAATACTTGAAGATATTAACGATATGCAGATACTACGCTCAACTCGCCAGTGGTTTTACTTCGCCTCGAATTCTTTTTCCTTTTTGGCCTCGAGTTCTTCAGCGTAGAGTCGCTATAGTGTTTTACCGCTCATTAATCCGACTATTCCGCTCGAAAAAGCTATAAAAAACGGGAAAACTCCGGCTAATTATATTTGCAATAGGGTACTAGAATTTCTTTTTAGCGGAATTTTGTTCACATCAGTCATCTCCTGGAGGGCTCTGCTGGTGTATAAGTACAACAGAAGTTTATTGAGCCAATTTGTTTTCATGTTTCATAACTTGTTTAGATTAGGCAAAATATTTTCTGAGCTGGCCAAAAAAAAACACTATTTTGCCAAAATCTTGAAAACCAGCAAATTTTTCAAATTTTTTGATTCCATGTTTCCAGATGTGATTGTTTGTTTTGTCTGTGTATGTTTCCCACCTTAAACAGATCTCTAAATATTTCAGCTCAAATTGTCCAATTATATCAAAGTTTAGCTTAAGCACTGCTTAGGTTGTTCAAAAAAGAGTCTGGGCAAAAGATCGTCCTCCACGCCCTGCTCAGCAATCTGCACTTATCAACCTATAACGGATTCCTGGGAGCACTTAAATCGCTCATCTGTGACGTAACCCGGGGAAAATTTTCGCTCAATTTTGGAATTGCGACATTGAAAGGTTTTAGGATCAAGTAAAGGGATGTTATTTTCACCTCTGTTGGAGCTATCTGCGTATTGGACCTTAAGAAGACTTACGAATCAAGCAAGGAGCTAGTCCTAGTGCTGCTTATGGTTTACGCCCTTGGTTATATACCGGTGTCATAAGTGAAAATCGCTTTTGACTTAGTAATTGAGGATTTATGCAATAAGGTAACCAAATTAGGATCCATCACAAAATGATCTAGCATAACAAGACAAACTTACTGCTTCTTTCCAAAAACATTATTCCTAAAATGGGCACTGATTAGCCAAAAGACATACCGTTTTCTTTTAATGCAGCCATTTTTTCAACATGTAAATTCCTTGAGAAACTTTTTAAATTTTTTTTTTGTATTTTTTTCACTATTGTCGGATCATTCCGTGCTACTTGCACAGTAAGCGGCTATCTTTGTTAGGTTTTGTTTTAGTTTTGCCTGTTTTGTCTTTAAATTAAACTTGTCTGATAAAATTTCTTAAGACACCTTGCAACCGCCCTCAGAACGCATAAACCCAAGGCTACAACTCATATTCGAAAAAGCTATCGCTAGCAATTTAATCCCAGAGGAATTGTCTCAATTACAGGACGTTAGGTTGGGGGTAGGGGTCGAGACGGCCCTTTGAGTGTTGCGTTCAGCAAAAAATTGATCTTTTATGGTTTATTTGGTTTTGATTACTCGGATGTGATTAGCAAGGTCTTCTAAATTTGAAATTTTTGCTGCAAAGTTTTTTTGTTAATTTGATTTGAACTCAGGCTTTGTTTTTGCTTTGATTGATTAGCTGCCTTCATTTTCAAACCTTTGATTGTTTTTTCCTTTGTCAATTTTTTTTGGGATCTAATCTTGTGGCCAATTTTAAAATGAGGTATTTTGATGTTATCTCGGCTGGGATTTTAAGGCAAAGGATTTTTTTGTCACGTAACCATTACAATCATACTTTTCTATTCAGGCAGAAAAGTTGATGACTCTGAGGCGAGTAGAACTATAGGTTGTTTTCATTTAAAACAAAACTTTAAACACAAACTGTGATTAAATTCGAGCAAATAACCATTCAAACTATTGAGATTATCAAAACTGCTCGTATCAGGTTTGAGCCCAATTTGCTTTCAGTTTTTTGAGGCAATTTGTTCATAATTATTTAAAAATAGATTTTTACAGAAAATAGATTTTTTTTAAAAAGTTTTTTATAAGTGATGTTTTCTGCAACTACTAGCAGAATATTTGGATCATTTGGCGAGCTGCACTTTTGCTACGCGTTCATAGAAGACGGGAAATGAAGTGCAGTAGTTATCTTGAATTAGCAATTTTGGAAACACCCACATTCTAACAAAAAATGTTGACAAATAAATACCTATCAAGGCTTAGAAATTTAAAATCAATCAATTTTGATTTAAAATCAGTTTTGATAAAAGTCAAAATTGTTATCAAAAAAACAAAATCGGTCCGATTCAAAATAAAGCTGCTCGTATCAGGATAAACTTTGGCGTATTGCAAAATATTCCGTCATTTATTTCAAAATTTAAACAAAAAAACCATCCCAAGCTCAGTTATATCCCCACTTCCTTCGAAAGTCAGAGCTTTTAACTTCTAAATGATCACATTTATAAACTTCTTGCTTGCTTCTAGAATTCACTATCATGAAGCTTACTTCATTTTGTTGAGTTTCTTCGGTTGGTCGAGTTAAGCGAGTAATTTCAGTCTCAAATTGGTTTTCAAATTGACTAAGGTAATAAAAGAAACGATTTGGTGTACATCGCAAACAAAACCAATTCTGGGCGCAAATTTGGCGAGGCTCGAACGACTACGAATAATGCATTGGTTCTTAATAAGACTTACCATTTTTATCGCAATTCACCATTTTACCAAGTCAAAATTTCGATTAGCTATCAACTCAATCAAATACGAATCAGTGTCCAACAATGTGACTACGATTTATTCCGATAAAATTACTTACATTTCGAGAATAGTTTTGCTTCGATAAAATAGCTTGCCATTTTATTCATATGAGTTCTAAAACTTCAATATAGATAATTAATTTGTGGTGTGTTATAACTTTTATCAGGGTTGCATGATCGGAAATTTAGGGTTTTGAATTGAATCTTATATTTGAAGTTATGAGATTTTGAAAAGAAAGTCGATTTTCGCCTTAACCACTTTGATTGCGGTCATAATTCTTTTTAAAGCGTAAATCCTATAATCAATTTACCTAGAGCTGTTTTTATATCTACGCTTGAATTTGTTCAAACTTTCATAAAATTTTCGATCAAGTTAATGGATGTTAAGTATCTAATTTTCATGCAGCCCTGGTTTATCCCGAAAATAGGGAAATCTCGTATCATATTAGCGATTCAAGATGATCAACGAGATCTTCGGGATCGTGAACAAAATCCAGTTCGGTGTGGATGGTGACGTCGTGGACAGGCTACACCACAAATACACAGGCTCGTTTTCTTTTGTAGGACCATGACTCGGAATAGGAATCGATTAATAATCATAATAGTCATAAAAAACAATTGTGCTTTCTGCGGTTTGGTTTTTGCTTTAGATCAGCTATAATTACATATCGTTCTGCAATATTTTACCTAATTTAATGTCTTCCTAAAAATAATAAGGAAAAAAAGCGGAAAAATTAATACAAATTTTGAAGAAAAAAAATCAAAAAACAAAAATAGAAAAATTTAAGTTTTTTTTTCGCTTTTTCAGCTTTTCATTGGCTGAAGGGAAGAAACAAAATTACTAACACGATAGTAGGAAAAATAGGAAAATGAGCGTATGATACCCAATTCTGTAGTGTTCCTGTTAATCTTCCTGGCGCTGTTTCTGACAACTGAGTCCCTTGTGGGGGAGAGGATCAAGTGTTTCTCAGATGTGGTCTACCCCAAGGCATGGCACACCTACATCAGCCGAATCTGCTGGGTCAAAAACACGTACCAGGTCACACAACACCCATCTACAAATATGTTTTTTTTAAAGTTATATTTTCTGTTATACGGCCTAAAATATCATATTGTTTGTTAATTACCTTTGGGAGAGCAAGCGGGTCAATGACAAGGAGACGTGTATGGTCTAAACAGTGAACTTAAAACCGAGCTAGACAAAACAAAATGAACGCATTTTGGCGGGCAATGGAACAATTTAGTTGGTAAACAAATAGTCGTTTCAGAACTTGCTTGCCCTCAAGTCGAAAGAAAATATGACTAATTGGTGTAGTAAATAGTATCTCAATATTCGGTTAATAAATTTCTCCTATTTGGATACCTTGCTTCTGCTGTTTGTTTTACTGCTTCTCATAATAGCCTAATAAATTTACTGTCTGGAGGAGACCCGTCTCCTTCTCATTCACCGAGTAAGTGTCTTGTAATCGGGAAGTAGGCTTTTTTCCCATAAACAACTTTTTTTTACGAGTTTTACAAATATCAAGGTTTCTTCCTACTTAGACTAGAGATAACGCCGGCACTTTTGCGCCCTAAGGTTTGAGGTTCGATTCCCATCCAGACCTTGTTTTTTTTTGCTATAAATGCCATCGGAAATTTTTTCCGGAACGAATTGAATTGTCGGGTTTTCGTTTGCTTGCTCAAGTTTTGTTGGCTTTGATGTCCAGTCACGGTCAGGCTTTGTTTGCAATTTTAAAAGTTTTTCATTTTAGTTTCAGAGCGGACTTAAAATTTTGTGATTTTTTCATGAAATGATTTTTTTTCGGCTTAACCGGTGTCTGCAGAAAGATTGTCTGCTTGGTTTGAATTCCACGTGTTGATTATTGCAGTTTATGGATGTACTTAAAATTTTAAAGATGTTCTTACAAAATCTGTTTTTTTTTCGGCTCAACTTATGTCTGCTCAAAGATTATCGGCTTTGTTTTGCTTCGTAAATCTTGTTCCGTTGCTAATAAATTTCTATCGTAGACCAAATGTTTTCGTTTTTTTTTGCCATGTGTTTTGTATTCTCATGTTTTTTACTTATGCGAAACTAAGTGTCTTGTTATCTAATGTAGTATCGCAAGTGGTGCGAAGCTCCATTTCGCCGCTGTGTTTAAAAATTAGATCATAATGCTTGGATCTGATGCCAAAATTTTTTCAAATGAAAGAAGATCCAGTTTTATAATAAAAGCATAAGCCTGATTCACAATTTGGTGTTTTTGGGAGTTTGATTGCATTGTGACAAAAACGGTAGGTATTTGGTGTTTCAGGGACCAGGTGAGTTGAAATGTGTACGAGATTGCAGAAAATTTTTTCCTCCTTAACAGCGGTTCTCACTGAAAAGCTGGAAATTTTGCATTTTGGTATTTTCCCCAGTTAGTTCTTCACTAGTTCTTCATTAGGTTAGATTTTTTGACTAAGTGGGGGAGAATCCTTCTTTCAAGGATTCCCTCGCTACTTGAAGGTTCTTCTTTTAAAAATAATTTTCGACCGCTGAGTCCTAACTTTTTTCTTAAAGCAACTTCGACGTCAATATTGTTTTTTTTGAAAAGGGAGTGCTTGAAACCAGGGGCGGATCTAGGATTTTCTCGAGGGAGGGGGGGAGGGCGGATTTTCAAAAAATTTTCAAAGTTTTTGTCGACCTTTTATTAGAAACCCGAATTTTTTAGAAACCTTTTTTTTTTGTCGACCCGAATTGATTTTCCGAGCTCTCCCAAAGCAGCAAGAAGACCCTGTTTTGATAAAGTTTTCTGCGCCGCAGGAAAAATTTTGAAAAAAAAGCGTTTTTAGGCACTTTTTAGAAAATTTTGACCAAAAAGTTGCGTTTTTTTGGCGCGCGCTCCCCCCTTAAAGTAAGTATATATTGGCGCCAAAGGCGCTTTCAGAAAATTTTTAATGTCCGTCACCAAACATGGATATCTCAAAATAGTACAAAGGCGGGACCCTTTGGGTCGGCAGGGGGTCGAGTCTTGGAAAGCATAGGGACTCTGTTGGTAATCTTGTTGGTTGTTTATTAGGTATGAAGTGGTTTGTGCTTCAAAAAGAAAAAGCTTTGTTTTATTGCTTTCATATCGCGTGTTAAGTTGTGTAAATTGGCACTTACCACTCCTCAAAGTTTTTTTTGTTTTTTTTTTTGGAATTTTTTTCTCACAAGTCCCCCTCTCAGCATTTTTGAGGGACCAGAAAGGGTATTACCCGGCTTTAATTACGTAATATCACGTGTTCTATCGAATCTTGGCTGTATAGTTGGACTTCGCTTATATTTAGTTGGACTTCGCCTAGGTTTAGTTGGACTTCGCTTATGTTTAGTTGGACTTCGGCACTTCTCCGAAGGAAGTGGACGAGGAGGACAGACATGAAATCGTATACTACCAATGGGCGGCCATTATCCTCGCCCTCGCAGCTGTCATGTTCTATCTCCCCTGCAAACTCTGGTACTTCTTCGCCGAGAGAGCAGGTACTTGTCTTTTCCCGCCGGATCTTCTTCGCGCTAGAACGCCCCCCCCCCCCACGGTCTACTGCAGAAAAGGAAAAAATTGCAATTTGTTTGAAGCAATTTGTAATTATAAATTTACCGTTCAGCTATCCGATTTTTTTTGCTAAGTGCTAAAAAGAGATCTTAAGATAACAGATTTTTGTATTTGCAACACGCACGTCAAAAACAAAACATTGGGCGCCAAATCATTTCAAAGATATCTAAGTCTTTTGTTCGGGGCCCAGGAAATTAGACGTGATCAACAAAAATGATTTTTGATGTCGATGCAAAATTTTAAATAGGGGAATTAGACGTAATTGTATTGTTTCGTGTCTGAAATTTGTTTACCGACTACAATTAACTTTTGTTCAGCTTTCTTAAATGCAAATCAACTTCTCACATGCCGCAATTTTCACATTCCGCATTTTTTACATGCCGCAATTGTATAATTTATGCATTTCAAAAAGGTTTTATAATCTTGAAATTAACATTTTATAAATCAATTGAGATGAATATTTTGATATGCAATGGGATCATATATTATTTTTGTATTTATGAAAACTTATTTTAAACGGTAAGTTTTGTTAGCCCTTTGCTTTTCGTCTAAAATGATAGTTTTGCAAAAACAATTTAACGTCTAAATTCTTTTTGTTGGTCACGTCTAATTCGCCTATCGTCTAATTTCCTAGCCCCCTTTTGTTCTTATAAAGTTTTGTTTCATGTGTGGCTTGTAAGTTATATAACATATAAGTATATCTGTATTATAATTTATAGTAAAATTTATATACATAAATCGCTCTCGATAAATTGCAGGATATTTCAGTCAGTTTTTCTTTAAAACTTTTGTAATCCATCGTTATCAGGTCGAATCCAAGACAAGCTGACAATTTGTTTACCAGAAAAGATACTCGGTGGTACCAGAAATTGTTCTTGCTTTTTTGTTTTTTCAGCTTTTTTATATGGAATGGGTTTTTGGACACTTGTCGGGTATCGAAGAAGTTTTTGGTGCCGGGCATAACGTACTTGTAAACATAACAATCGTAGTTGTTGTTATCAACTTTGTGGAAGAAAAGGAGATTGTGCATTTCGTGATAAAGTGAAACTGCTAATAATTCAACTTTTTCAAGTCTTTGCTCATAAGGCTTAGCCGAGGATTTTACAATCAATCTGGTAGCTTTCTTTTGTTTTGTTTGGCTATCTCACCTCGGATTCGTATGATATAATTTTCATAATGTAGCCATATTATGCATTTAAATTTGATGAAAATGATGACAATTTTGACGAATTTCGCTTGATATGGAAAAGTGCTCCTATGACTTTTGACACACGCTGCTCTCAGGTGAGATTTTTCGACACTATAATTCCTTGATCTTTCTCACTACAAGATCAAGTTATGACAGTTTGATAGATTTAACTCATTTTATTATCACAGCACCATTAATTGAGATTATTCATGTCTGATTGTAGATCTTTAGAATTTGTTGATAATAGCTTGTAGTCGTCAGCAAAGCCATAGCAACTGGGTTTCAAGATCGTTTATGAAGCAAAGAAAAAGCAACGGGCCCAATATTGAACCTTATGAAACTCCGCTAGAAACATCAAGCCAATTACTGAGCTGATTTCTGATTCGAACTCTCTGCTTGAAATTTTGCAGATAGCTTCTAAGTGACTCTATTAGGTTACCATGCCGCAAAGATATGACTTTCCTTTTTTCTTCTAAAACGCTGTAGACTTCATCTAGATATTTCAACAATTGAACTGTTTTCGGTCTTTTTGATCAAAAACCAGACTGAATTTCGTGTAGCTGTTTGAAAATTTGAGGTGACCTTTCATCGAAAATTGGTTTTTCGAGTACTTTGAAGACTGAGACGAGTAGACTTCTTAGCCGATAAAAAATTAATGTTTGCTTGTAAACGGTCTTGTATATTGGACATTTCTCACTACGTTTCCACATGGTAGGAGAAGTTGATTTGTTTGCAATTGTATTGAAAAGAAGGTGTAAAGATTTCTTGAGTTCGTTTGCCAGTTTGTTTCAGTATATGGTTTCCAAGTTCATTGGGCCCTATAGCGTTAGTCAATTTTAAGTTCACCATAGTTCTTTCGATTTCTACTTCCGTGAAATAAATACTTTTAGTAACGATAATATTGGTTTGATTCAATAAACAAGGTTTTTCATTTGGTTTACTTACCGCCCTTTGGAAGTACTGGTGGAATAGATTTGCAATATCTTTGTCGTTATAGGCAGTTTTGTAGTCTCAGTATCAAATTGATGGTAGCCCCTTTGTCTTACGAGTACACTTAACATATTTCTGTAGCTTGGTGAATTTCCTACCCTTAAAGCACCGTCTTCAAAAGTAGTTTGATCTTCGTCAATTAAATTTTTCCATATTTTCGAACTTTGCTATCTCAGTATTGGTAGATTTTTTTCCATGCGTTTTCTTAAGGTATTCAGTCTTTTTATCAGTTTTGCGGGTGATGGTTTTATCCACAGTAGTATAGATCTTCTGTGATTTGTTTAACTTTCATACAATTTTGCAAGATTTTGAGTAACCTTGTGTGCCATGAATCGACTAAAAGATCAAAATGACTACAGCAAAATTGTTTGAAAGGGATATTTACAAATTCATTCTCAATTTTTCCCCAGTCTGGGTTGACTAAGAAAAACACAAAAGTGCAGAAAGTACTGGTCGTTTTTTTGGTTGATTTTTGATACCAGTGCAATGGTGTTTAGCGTAATTTGAAAAGAATTTTGATCTGATAAGTTTTTCTCTTGTTGGCAATATAGAGCATTGAGTTGCGGATCAGCCTTTGTACCAGAATTAGATCCGGTTGGTTACACAGCACGACATCCAGTTTTTGTTTTGATTTCAGAATGTGTTGGTGATGATTGAAATCAGTCATCAAGTCGAGTATTATTTGCCCATTCGTATCAGTTGATTGTATGATTGGCCAAGTAATGGCATTGAAATTCATGTCTCCTATTATAAGGACTTTTGAGCATTTAGGACAAGAAGAAAGCTTGGTTCAATCTTTCGAACAGATTTATGAATTCTTTCACAGAATGCCAATATAGGCTGGACGTTGGCGCGCTGTTTAGACAGCAGAGGAGGAGTGGGTTTTGAGTCTTAATTTGAGCGATTAGGTAGTCTGATAGCTCAAAAATCAATTTAATAACAGCTATGTCATGTTTCATGGCGAGAAGGACTCCGTCGTGCTTGGTTGCTTTTGTCTTTCTTATTTCGCGGTTGCTTCTTAAGATTGACTTTTCCGGTAGAAATGAAGCATCGGCCGATGTTTGTTGCACGAACTATGTTTCAGTTAAACAGATGATTTCGTATTGGCATGGTAAGATTGCCTTACTGAAAACTTGTCACCTCGAGAATTCAAGCAAGCTTTTCACATTGAAGTCTACAACTTTCATTTTTGAGTTGTTTACATGCAGTCAATTCTGGTTTCTGTTGTCCTCATTTTCGGCTGGCGACTGGTCCTCGACTTTTTTATTGACCCATGTATTGTCTCTCTTCTGTTGTAAACCCAGATTTCTGATTCTTTTTGACCTCGGGTCCACGCCGTTAAATAGGAATTCTCTTTGGGTTTTTAGAATTGCATTTTTACGGAATAGTTTTTCTTTGGTGAGCTCTTTGCTAATAAACATTTTATTCTTGTAATTTTTCCAGTATATGAATTGTAGATAGCACCATATGAGTTTCATTCGCTGTAGACAAGTGCACAAGTATTGTGCGTGGTTTTGTGTTGTTTTCGTTGAATTTTTCTAATCGTTTCACGCAGATGATTTTGCAGTCAGTATTCAGGTATTAAAAGATATCGTTCGCTTCCTTCATTTTGTTATCAAAACGTTTTCTTGCGTCCTTTTCAATTAGTTTTGGTATACCCCGAATGGGCAAACCACGGCCAGATTGAACTTTCGGACCAATATAATTTGCATTTACAAGTCATGTTGTGACTTGCTTGGTTTCTTTTTCTGTCAGCGGTGGAAAGCCACTGATATATTGTATGATTTCCTCTACAGTTTCATTTAATTTCTGAAGATCAACTTCGATCTTCTTGATGCCCTCAGACTTTCTTGCAATTCTGCGTTGCGTAGAAGAATGTCTCTTTTGTTGCCAGACACACAAAAAATGCAGAGAAGAAATACTCTTTCTCCAAGGTCGACGATATCATTTACAGCAACTGGAGTTAACCCAGTGCATTGATTATTCATGTGCAAATTGCATCCGCATGAGATGCAATCATAGGCTTTTTTGTTTTCATTTTTGTTCTCTTGCAAGTCTCGCAAGTTCTGGCTTTTTTGTCATTTCAGTTATTGCTCAATTTAAAGTTTCAGAAAATTGGGTTTAGAAGGTCATTTTGATGTTGATAAACACAGATAGACAGAACAAAAAAACACAAAAATTCAAAGCACCTCCGAGAAACTTCTGGAGTCACACAAGATTTGTGTTTAAATTTGTGCTAAATATAGATGAAGCAGTTCACTGAAAGGCAATTCCCAGAAAACTTCTGGAGTCACACAAGAAATAAATTACTTTACCCTTTTTTCTGTGTGGTTTTCGTGCTCGAATAATTTCAGTCTTTCTACCGTTCTCTTCTCTCTTCTTTCATTTGTTGTTTTTTTTCGTTTTGTTCTTTGAGGATTGAATTTTCTTTGTCAGCTGCCACAAGATGTTGTAATTGTAACACACCATCGATATTAGGAACAGTTCAATTGTTTCGAAGGGTTGTACAGACAGACGTTCTTCTGTTATCAGCGCGTTCGTTTTCAGTGGCAGCGGAAGAATATTTTTCCGAACGTCTAGAGCCAGTCTTCCTGTAGAACGTAGTTTAGAAAGAATTTTGGGTTGTACATGATTGGTTTGTTTGGAGGACGAAATTTCGTGATGATCTGAACGAGAGTTTCAGGAGTACATTTTTTGAAGTTCTTTGTGCGATGGGCGTTCAAGTTTTTGTTGATGACGTCGTGCCACAAAATCAGCTGAGTTTTTCTGTAGATATGTGCCCGTTTCCACAAAGAATGCTTTTGATTGTTGATGGGGATTTGCAGTTCTCGGATTTACACTAAGTCCTCGAACGGAATAGCAGAATCTTCTGATCATTTTCTGCGTCTTCCTGGGTAGGGCTTTGACAGCGTTGACTAGTAAGCTGGAACCATTGATAAACATACAGCCGGCTACTGAAAATCTTTGGCAAAGGACACCTCGACCAGGCCGGACTTTCATCTAATTTAGCTGAAACAATTAGCTGAAACTATTTAATTTCAATTAGTTGGCAATTATTTCGGAAGAAAGAAAAGAGTGGTAAAACAAGAAATCTGTTCTATTCTAGAACACAAACTATGTTTTTTTTTTCAGTCAAGTAACTGTAAATCACTAAAACTGTATGTAAAACAGAACAAAAACGCATGCGGTGATACCGGTAACTAACTCCTCGTCCCAAAACTGTTTGTCGGCGCGCAGAAAGTTGGGCCATGTTAGTTGCTGCTATTCTGCAGCGAATATTTGTTGAAAAGCGGGATTCATTCCGCTCCAGTTCAAAAACTCCAATAAATACCCATTAACTAATATCAATTCATTATTCACCAATCAATTAAATAATTAGTGAACGCCTGTCAATCACTTAATTGGACCGATTAATTGCCAATTAATTGGCCTCCAATTAAGTTTTCAGAACCCCTGGCTTACACTGCAGCTAATATCGATTAATATAATGTGGGTTGTCCTAAGCGTGGATATAGTATGGTGGCTTTATGGGGTATAAAAAACTTTTTTTTCGAGAAAGGCGTGGCCGTTTTATAAAAGGTCTTTCTTGTTCTTTTTGTAGTGTCCTTATCTAGGGTTTTGACATTGAAGGTCATTCTTTGATTTGTAAATGCTATTGATCGTTTTCTTTGTTTATCTTACTTCATCACTAATGGGTTTTGAGCCGTGAATATGTGGGTGATACATGTCATTGTTTTGTGGCGTTAAGAAGCAATTTGACAGGTTTTGGTTTTCTGATGATTTCAAAATAAAATTTGAAGCTGATGCCTAAAATTATGTTTCTGTTACCTGAAATCGTTCAGAGTCCGTTCGTCATGTTTTCTTTATAAATTATATCATCATCAAATGAGTTGAATCGCAGAAGGAAAAGCGAAGAAAACTGCTATTGTTTTCGGATTTTGTACCCAGTTTGCTTAGGTTTGAATATCGACAACATGATCAAGACGTGCAGCAACTTCGCGGTGGTTGTGAATGACGAGAAACGGAAGGGAGTCTTTACTAACCTCGCTCTTTTCCTCGACAGATTTTTCGACGCCCAGGTATCCATAATCAATCCAAATTCAGGAGCTTCAGGGTCAAATTTATAATCAACCGAGGGGGAACGTTTTGTGTAATCGGGATTCGCTCGTATGAATTCAAATCAAGAGTTTATTCGGTTGCGCAAACATTTGCCATCTGTTCATTTTTAGAGGAGATTTTGGTTTGACAAGATTTGAAAAGTGGACTTTTATAATTCTTAACAATAAAATATTATCTGTAGAGGGATTTGGTAACTATGGAAATTTTCTTATTGAATATCTCTAGCATATGTATACAAATTTTACACCTTTGGTAATAACCAAGTCAACTTACTATCTACATGAGACTCAATTTTTGAGGTTGATTGACCAAATATCGTGTTGTAAATTAGTGCCGTATAGGGGGGCACTTAGGAATAATTTAGCAACAAGAGAGAATCGAGGGAAGCGCAACCCCCCCCCCCTCCCGTGCACTCTGGTCTGACTAGTTTTTATTGCGTTTGTTTTCAGGCTCTGAACAGCAAGAGGCAGCGTGGAATTGTTGCCCGTCTGTGCTCTTGCTTCAGTCGCAGCAGTGGGAACTACTTGGGAGTGGGATACCTGTTGACCAAATTGGCCTACCTCATCAACGTCACTCTTCAGTTCCTCTTCATGACCATCTTCCTCGGAAGGTCAACCCAGTTCGAGAGTTTCGGCCTCAGTGTCACCAAGTTCATATCCGAGGGGATGGTGTGGGAGGACTCCAGCAGGTTAGCAAACAAAAAAATCACCCGAATAAGTTATAAACAAAATGAAAACCATGTAAACTCTTTGAGAGGAGTACTTGGCTTTGTTTAATATACATGATACTTGGTCGAAGAGAGGAGCTTTTTTCATTATATGAAGCTGTTTTATAGGCTTTAAATGTTGTTTTAAAAGACGCAGGTATAAATTACAAATGATTAATGAATTCATTGCGTCAGTGACGCTATACAGACAGTTCTTGTCTATCTAGTATCACCCCATGCTGGTGACCGATTGTTTAGCAGCAGACCAATTTTTTAGCATAAAAAGTCAAAAATGATTTTTTAGCAAACCAACGTAGTGAAGTGATGCATGATTGATTGACAGATTCAAAAAGACGTTCAATCTTGGGCTTAGCTTCCCCCGATTTATAATAATGTGGTTCCTGCGAATTGCAGAGTAGCTTTTGGTAGGCTTTAGCAGGCCTGTCGTAGGATAGTCCAATTGTTTTTTCTCCCAACATTCCAGACTGTGTTATTTTGTTTAGCCAAGCTCTTTTTTGAGACTTAAGACCGTTTTTTTTGCGTCCGAACTTTCATGTGGTACCACTATTGGAGCCAAATTTGGTCAGGCAGTGGTAGACCTGAAGCTAGAGGTCAAGTGAGAGCGCGTCCTTATACACTATCATTGCCATGGAATGGGATCGAATACACGATCTGACGATTTCAGAGTGATCGCCTTACCACTATGCTAAGTTCCTCTGTTTGTTAACAAAATAATCAAATTTGAAAACTCTTGTACAATAGCCTAAATTAGCGGTAAAACAAAGAATAAAGCGCACAGTCAACCTCGTGTCGAATGGAAGCGCAGCAGAGCAAGCAGTCGCTTACCGCAAATGCCGCGTTTGAAGTTAGTGTTTTGACTTGCTAATTGTTCTGAGTCTGCTAAAAGATTGATTTGCTAAAATCCCTAGCACCCCTTCATGATGGCTTCCTTCACAATAAGGAAAAACTTGTTGAGCTTAAACTATGTAACTATATCGTGAACAACAGCTTATAGAACATTTTTCATTCCATTACTTTTGGTTCAAAACTTTTAGTTTTATCGAATGGGCTTGTGTCGGAGTCGTGTTATCATGATCATATGGTGGCTCGTCACGGAGCCGAATACCAAAATAGCCGAAAAAAACCGTTGCCGGATAGCCGAAAAATAAATTCGTTACTGGATAGCCGACTTTTTTTGTTCCCGGATAGCCCAAATCTTTTTTGATCCCATAGACAAAAAAATTCGACTCGATCCACACCAAAATATAAGAGCGCTGAAAATTTCAAATTATTTTATCATATAATAAAGAAAAAATTTTTACCACCATAACCAATGCTCCACATCCCAAATAAATCTATAGACCCCAGAGTAGAAAAGTTATATAATCAAGGAAACTATTTTTTTAAAATTGAGAAACCCATTGATCTTAATTGGATCGGCTTAAACTAATTTATCCCAAAACGCTGTAAAAATTTTATTGTTGAGAAAATTTTGCGACGGAGGCAAACATTTTAAATAATGTTGGCAAAAAATTTAGGTTTTGCTCACTTTTTTGGCGCCTGCTCCCTGCGTCCATCTCAAAACAGGTATTTAGTTTTGCTCTTATTTGATTATTTACTAGATAGACGAAAATTTCTTGAATCCCTGGTAAAAGAAAAAAAAAATTGTTGGAGAGCCGAAAAAAGTTCCCGGATAGACGAAAAAAAATTGTTTACGGATGGCCGAAAAAATATATACTGTGTTTTTCAAGCAGTCGCATTTTTACTGCTTTCATTTTCCAAGAAATAAAAGCTCTTACGCAAAGAAAATGTTTCGTGTCTACTCGATTTTTGGTAAAATAAATTCCGAAAAAAAAACAAGATTGTTCGAATAAAAGTGGCCTAAACTTTGAGACGGATTTGCTTTTTTAATCAAAATTTGTTTTGTTGCTAATTAACTTAGCAAGAGACTTTTAGTTTTTTCAGCTATTCGGGAATAGGGCTCTGTGGGTACGCACCGATCATATATGAGCAATCAAAACCTTGTTTTCAGGTGATCGAAATTGACATTTTTTGAATGGTTTTTGTAATCCATGGCAATCAGACCCGGCTTTGTTTTTTTGGTTTCTACTGAGCAGGGGTGGGTCTAGGATTTCCTTGAGGGGAGGGGGCGTGTGGGGTCGAATTTATAAAAAAATACTATTCGAAAACCTTGTCGACGTTTTTCTTTTAGTTCGACCCAATTGATTTTCCGAGCGCTCACAGAGAATTTGAAAACCAAGTTTTGACAAAAGTGTTTGCACCACAGGCAAATTTCATGTCAAAAGTGCCGTTTTTGGAAAACTTTGACCAAAAATTGCGTTTTTTGCCGCGCTCTCCTCATCAAAATGAGTATAATTTGTAGATTTAGGGATTGCTTCTCTAGGTTCGTTTTCTCTCTCTCTCTCTCTCTTTCTCTCTCTCTCTCTCTCTATCTCTTAACGACACCGCAAAGTGGTCTTTTGGGTAGTTAATTCAGCGGGGCAACCGAGATTCACTACTTTCCACAATCCCGAAAGATTAAACTGATGGCAACTATTCTGTACTGTATTATGTTACTTCCCCCTTTGTCTACTGCTCTTAGGGTTGTCTCATCCGCTCTCACGATCGCAAGAATTTCCAATTGTATTCAAAATAAGAAATTGCAGAAAAATCTAAGTGGCCAAAATTTAATCAAATGATCTTCTCGAAATGAAAGGGTCCGCGATCAATCAACCCAATTGCCTGGATGCAATTCAATTTCCAACTAAGTCAACTTAACAATTGTTTTTCTCTGGAGAATCCTACTTAACTAGTTGCACACAATAATTCCACAAAAATACTAAGTTCGACATGTTAAGATTAATATTGTCTCTACGGATCACTCTTGCTTTGAGGTACTTTGACTGATTTCGCTAACTTCACAAATCGCTGTTCTCAACTCTGATGAGAATCGACTACTCTATTCTAAACCTAATTCTGTTCTCTTATTAACAGAGAACCAACTTTGCTATAATTGTTCTCAGTACCAATTGTTCTCTAACTAACAATGAGTACCCAACTACTCTCACTAGTAGGTATTAATCGTTCTGTAACAAATAATTAGAACGCAACTGCTCTCAGTAGTAGCTAATTTTGCTGTGCCTAATTGTATGCAACCCGTAACATTTTCGCCACAATTGTCATTTTGAGTTATAGTAAGAGTAACGGTCGTCCCTTTAAGTCTTGACATTCTCTTTCGTTCCCCTTTCGCAAAGTCTTACTTGATTTCTTCCTCTGACGGTCCTATTCCTAAATTCCAATTCCTAAATTCATCAAAATTATTCCCGTCTAACTTGCCCAAATATCACGTTTTTTATTTAATTATTCCAATAACGTTCCGACCTCCCAAGATTAACGGAACACTCTTTTTATGGGGAGCACATTCAACTCAAGCGTCTGAAATTCCCATTTATATTCTATTCCAATCCCGACCTTCTAGCTATCAGGGTATCTTAATTTGCCTATTAGGAATCGAACGGTGGCAAAAAGACACCTCTGGGGAATTGAGTGAATAACCCGTCCATTCATGATATTTAGGAGACCTATTTACCATGATATGCTCCTATTACCGCCAATTTCCTTTGGGACTACTTTTCTTTAGTCTGGTTGAATTGATAATAACAGCTCATTCGCCAAGCTAAGCTGAACCCAAAATTTGCCAAGTGCACTTTATTTAGTTCCACTAATTCTATGTTACGTTGTAAAAGCTATATCCTTTTCAGCTTCTGCTTCAGTTTACAAAAGAAAGGGTCCGTCCCAGCTATGAGCAAGTTGACAGATTCCTGTTTTCTTTTTTCCAAAGGGTTGGGGCTGGGGAAGGTTCCGCTTTCCGGTGTTAATCTTGGGGTTGCTTATGCAATTCTGTTCCAAAGCGCCCGAAAGTCATTTAATGGTCACTCCGGGGTCACCGGGGTCAATCATTTATAATCGAGTTTAGAGTCCCACAGGGGTCCTACCTACCAAGTTTCATCCTTAATCCAATTCATACTTCCCAAGTTATCCCATTTCTAAGGTCCATTATCACTTTTTCCGGGAACAAGCTATTTGCACCGCCAGAAGGATCCTCCAGAAGGGTCCGCCAGAAGAATTTTGCTCAATATGAAATTTGTTTTGGGGTCGATGTCCAGTGTCTATTGCCGCAATTAAATTAACACGCACTCTCTTTTTATTTTGCGTAAATTGCACATTTTCGGTCTAAGGGGTGTTTTTCTCAAGTGCTAATAACTTCCGGTCCATTTGCCGGACTTTATTCATATTACAATACGTGATATCGCTTACCACTGGCCATCATACCCCAAAGTTTCGGCTCCCTGCGTTCAGTGGGTACTTAGAAACTTTTTCCGGAAGTTGGGGTGGGCATAACACCGGAAGTAGGGGTCCACGGTAACTAGTGTTTCCAACTTAAGCTTTCCTCAACTAAATCTATCACATGCTAAACTTCAAACTTCAGTCCCATTTCAATCGCTAGTTACCGAGTTTTTATAGGGCTATTGGCATTTTCGGTAACCGTTATCACTTGCACCAGGGTGTCCTTAGGGTTCGAGGTTTTGCATGCCCGGGTCGAATCATCTCTAGTTTCATAAAGTTAGCTTCCTTAGTTTCCATTCGGGGGTAAATTAAATTGGTACCGTCTTATAAATTTCAGCTGAGGAGGGACTAATTCTTTCAGAGTTTAACTTCTTTGGACTCGACCGTTTGTGTACTTTTCTACTTCTGCTATTTATTAGTGAATACCAAGCCACGGACTACTCATTAACCTTTACTATACTGCATGCATTTTTCAAAGTAAAAATCTCAATCGAAAACTGAGTTTGGAGGAAAACTGTTAGGATCACCGATCCTACATAATATGGCGCTGATGATGCCTTTCGAAAATTTAGGTAATTTGAAAATTTTAGAAAATGGATGTCATAAAGTGATGCCAAAAGGGGGACCCTTCGGTTGGTAAGGGGGTCGATTCCCTTAAATCCGCCCCTGCTGCTAATTTGGACGCCAGAATTATCTCAATTCAGTTTAGAGTTTAAAATAGAGCTCCCACATAACATAGGGTCCTCTGAAAAATAAGTGTTTTTAGAAAGACCTAAGTCCAACACTTAGCCTGCTGCCAACCACTTATACTCTTACCCCCCCATTTCCCTTTCCCCTGCCGTTTAGGTTCCCCCGTGTGACTCTGTGTGACATCAAGACCCGCCAGTTGGGGGATGTTGAAAAAGACGAGACTGTGCAGTGCGTGTTGCCCCAGAACGTGTACATGGAGAAAGCGTTTGTGATTGTGTGGTGGTGGTATGTCATGCTCATTCTAGTGACAGCTGTCAATCTCTTCCAGTGGGTCATCCGCATATTCATGCAGCAGAACAACGTTAGATCTTCTTGGTTTATGCAATGAATGGTTTTTACGCAATTATTATGCAATCAATGCTTTTTTTTTGCAATTTTTATGCAATCAAAAGTTTTTATGCAATTATTATGCAATCAATGGTTTTTATGCAAAAAATAGTTTTTATTTTTATTGTTTGGTACGCGGGCTATGGTGACCGTTATTTTAACCCTGGACCCAACAACGAGCGACGAATAGATCTCAGAAGGGCAACAACAACAACAACAACCGTTATTTTAACATAGGGATGAAAACGCATAAAAATTTGAAACTTTGAAATAAATTCAATTACATATTAGCCTATCAGATTTCACGATAGAAATACCAACCTTTCTATGCCGGCTATCCATCTCATTATTTTATATTAAGAATTTGGTTGTAAATGAGCGCATCAAAAGAATTGACTTAGCGTTTTTTTTGTTCCAAAAAATAAAAAAAATGAATAAATAGTCATGCCATGTGGCAAAAAAGGCCGGGCTGAACTGTTCTTCCAGTTAATTTAAAACCACGGTAATAATTTTTCTTCCAGAACTGCAAATTTAGGTACAAAAAGCACGCGATGACACGTTAACAAAAATTTTCCCTGAATAAAACCCTGAATCGCACTTATGGCCAAGTGAAAAGCTTTTTGGTTGAATAATTGAAAAAATAATTGAGATAAAGAAGATTTTTTTTTTCATTTTTTCTTCATTTTATCCCCCCACGTGCTATGCAAATAACTAAGAGTGTGTTTAGCGTCTCGTATTGTGATAATGGGATTAAATTGCTGGCTTCATTTCAATTTGGAACTCATTATTTTGCTTCTTACATAAGTTTTAAATACACAATATATCGCACTTTAATTATCTCAAATTGGCCAAATTAGCCATTTTCAAACGCCCGTTATTTTACGAAAAATGATCGCAGCTTCGGATAACAATATTTCTCAGATGGTATAAAAAACGCCGTCAAAAACGCTTAGTCAACGAGACGAAAATTGACTGAATAAAAAAACACACCAATCATAGATATTTCGCACTTTCTTCAAAAGTCGGAACACAAAAGCAAAAAAAAGCTTATGCTATTTTATCTATATGCTATTTTATACAGACTCGTGGGCTATAAGTATTTGCTGTTGATTTATCTCCTTACGAAGGCTCAGAAATAATATTGAAAACAACGAATTAATTATCCATAAGATTACATCGGAACTTAATGCTAGTTGAAATTTTTGTTGAAAATTTAAAAGATTTGCCATATTTAAATGTAAGAAAGAAACGGAATATTTGTGCTCGGGTGGGTTTTTTTCTTCAGAAAAAATTCGACTTTTTAACTAGCATTTTTCGACGGAAATTTGAAAATATCATTCAAAAGGTATTGTTGCCTTGAGCTTAAATTTGAAAAGATATTTCACCTGTAATCATTTTCCCTAAACTTATGGGTGTTTAAATGTTGCCATTTTGGCCAATTTGGGACAATTAACGCTCGGTATATTTCGCAATATAAACGCGTAAGCAGAGATTTAATCCGTCTTAGAAATCGTTCCAAATTGTTTGAAGGAAGCTCATTTGCAATAATTGATTAGTTACGTGTATGGCGTGTAGGGGGATGATTTTTGCAAAAAAATTTCAAATTTTCTTTTTTTTTGTTTTCTTTGATTAAATTTAATTTTTTTTTGTAATTAAAGCCCCATAGACCTTAAAAAGACAGTCGGAACATTCAAGGCTTTGCCCTGATACGAGCAGTATTGTGTTCATTTTGGCATTATTGGAAGAGGAAAAAGAGCCAAAAAAAGTTTGACCGAACTGGAAAGATTGAAAGACTGTTTTGAAGAACAGTTTGAGAAGATGATTGGTACTCGTAAAAATTTTTGTCTTTTTTGTTCCGACTTTTGAAGAAAATGCAAAATATCTATGATTGGTGCGTTTTTTTATTCAGTCAATTTTCGTCTCGTTAACTAAGCGTTTTTGACGGCGTTTTTTATACCATCTGAGAAATATTGTTATCCGAAGCTGTGATCATTTTTCGTAAAATTACGGGCGTATGAAAATTGCTAGTTTGGCCAATTTGGGATAATTAAAGTGCGATATATTGTGTATTTAAAACTTATGTAATAAGCAAAATAATGCGTTCCAAATTGAAATGTAGCCAGCAATTTAATCCCATTATCCATATCCGAGACGCTAAACACACCCTTAGTAATTTACATAGCGTGTGGGGGATAAAATGAAGAAAGTTTTTTTTAATAAAAAATCTTCTTTATTTCAATTATGTTTTCAATTATTCAACCAAAAAACATTTCAATTGGCCATAATTGCGGTCGGATCATTCAGGGTTTTGCGTTAGTTTGCGAGCAGTCCTTTTAGTTATTTAATTCAAGTCAAAATAATTGTCGACTTTCTGATTCAGATATTAAGGTCGCTCCTACCCGGAATATATGCGTTTCTTTTTGCGTTTTTAATGAATTTAATGAATTTTTTAAAATAATTTCTTTGCTTTTTTGCAGCGTGAATTTGTGAAGGGGTACCTGCGTGCGATTGACAAGTACCCCATGACCCGGGAGGAGGTGAGGAACAGACCTGGGATCCGGATGAAGATGGGCTACTTTGTGACCCACTACCTCATGCAGGACGGGGTGTTCGTGCTCAAGTTGGTCAGTCGAAATGTGTCTTCCCTCATGATGAGTCAGATCATGGGACAGATATGGCAACACTTCATCGTCAGTATTAATTATGGTCACAGTATTTAAAAAGTAAACAAGTCATAAAGAAGACAAGTCATAAAGTAGACTCGTCATAAAGTAGACAACTACTATATCAACCAATCAGAATCGAGAACAAGAAGCAAACTTAGGAAACTTAATTATTTATTTCCTGAGTTTGCTTTCTTTTATCGCTTCTGATTGGTTAATATAGTAGTAGTCTACTTTCGACCGGTATGAAATAAAGGTTGTCTACTTTTTGGGGTGCCGGACATCAAGCCGACGGGACTTCAAGCCGAATTCTAAAATTAGGGACTTCAAGCCGAATAGTTCTTTATAAAGTCGTGAAATATGATTAATTTGAAAACTTTTTTGAAGAATTTCTGAATTTCATGATCTTTCTTTACTAGTTATCGGCGTTTTCATAAAATTTAAGCCTTCAAAGGATGTTTCAGAAAGTTGGAAAGTAAAACATGGTTGAAGGCATTTTTCATGTTTATAATTTATGCATTTCAAAAACCGGCTGATGTTATAAACGGATGCCAATCACAAATGGTGCATTGTCATGAAAAACGCTTATCATGGACTAAACTTGCCAAAAATTTTGAAAAGCAACGTTTTACAGATGATAAAATTGTGTTTTGAGGTGCCTGTAAAGTTTTAATTTCGGCTTCAAGTCCCTTCGGCTTGAGGTCCCGTCGGCTTGTTGTCCTAGACCCATACTTTTTGACCGCTTTCAATTAAATATTTACATAAATAGTAGCTAGGCGAATGACAAGGAGACTGGTCTGATCCAGACAATGAACTTAATAGACAATTATGAGGGTATAATCCCTCATACCCGAAGGACCAAAAGCGCAAAAATAAAAATCAGCCAAACAGAATTCATTTATGTAAAATTTGAAAAGAAAGTAAACATTTCCTGGGATTGGATATTGATATTGGCCGAATATAAAAACGGCAGAAATGTGCAAAAGTTTCAAATTGTCACTGGCCGCCGCCGAATTGGAACAAATTTTTTATTTCAAGGGTTTCGTTATGAAAGAAGCAAAATATTGCTTCATTTGATTAATTTTAATTGAATTGCAATTGCTTTTTTTTTAAAATCTGCTTTCGGCTAAATTTTTTTTCGGTCCTTTTTTTTCGGTTAAATTTTTTTTCGGTCCTGCAAGTTGTGAAACAATTAATCGTTTACCGCCAAAACGTCTTCAATTAGTTTTCTAGCTCGTAATTAAGTTCACTGTCTAGATCAGCATTGCCGTTTTTTAGTCAAATAGAAAGTTTGCCGTTTTTTAGTCAAAATTTTCTAAAAGGTACCCAAAAATTGCATTTTTGACCTTTTTTTTTTACATACAAACGATTATGGAGAGAGAGAGTTTTTTGTATGTTTGTATGTTTTTATGTATATGGTTCAAAGTAATTTAGCAAAAATTGCTCGCCGAAAAACACAATTTTGTGGCAAACATTTTCCAAAAACGTCAGTTTTGACATGTATTGTTGTAAAAATTGTCCGAAACAACAAATACTGCCAAACAAACTGTCGGATAAAGAAGCAGTGAGTTACAACTCGCAAAGAGTTGCTTGGTGGGCGTGGAAATGTTTTACATTTCAAAAAAGTTTAGGTTGAGAAATCGAGTAGGCCGTACACTCATTTTGCTACGTTTTTGCATTACTCACTTGAAAAATGACGAAACGCTTGCAAAATTTTTAGATGCGTATTTAAGTAATTTTAAATTTGATAAATCTACGGTTTACGCTCATTTTTCTTATTCCATTTTGTTGTTTGGGGGGAAATTGGGAATCGCTTGTAATGTTAACATTTTAAACCACAAACAGCCATTATAATTGAATAGTTTTGCTTGATAGTTTTGCTTGATATAGTTTTGCTTGATATAATTCATGTGATAAATTAAAAAAATTTTGGAAAATTTCAAACAGCCCGAGTATGTATTGCAATAAAAATCCAAGTAGAAATAAATAGTTTATTGTTTTTATTGCAATTATTTTCGTTGCAATTTTTTTTAGCACCCTTGGCTCAAAGTGTTCTTATAACTCAAATATTTGCAAGGAGTTTGAGTTAAATCAAAATTCTGTTGTGTTACACTTCTGATTTAAAGATTAATCTCTGATCAAATTTCGTCTAGTTTAATCTGGAAACGAAAACATTCAGACCAGTTTTTCTCTACCCTGAAACATTGTTTAATTTTTTTTTGAAATCGATCACCATCAAAAAAGCTTTAATATGATACCAAATTTGTAACCCATACGGTTTTTCTTTGTAGTAGTCAAAGTTGGGGGGGGGGACTTTGCGCCATAGTTCCATGTCTCCTTTAGAGGGTTGGTCTGAACAAAAAGATACAATATGAAACTTAAGAAATGTTATTTTTCTCGCTCTCTTAGGACAACTTCGAGGAGGAAATGCGACAGAGAGGTATCGAGGACACCCCTATTGACGACAACGACGAAGCCGCTCTCGTGTCCCCCGGCGAAGGCGACAATGACGATGACGACAGCGACTCGGAGGAAAGTGACCCCTCGAAGACTCCCTTCGCCGAACACGGGACCCTGGAAGGAGACAGGAAGCCCTCCGCACCGCCAGAGAACAAACTGTACCCCTCCGTCTAACAAGTCTCTTGAAAAATTGAGCTTATGATTGCAGAGATGAAAAACGGCATATGCTAATTGACGCTTCAAAATAAATGCGCAACATTTTTTTTTACAAAAAGTTAACAATGGCGTGCAAACCTTCTCCCTTGATTTTTGAATATTGTAACTTTTGGAGGGTTTCACTTTTATGTTAAATTTTATTGGGCCGTTTCATGTGTCGAAATTTATCAAAACTGCTTGTTTTTTCAAAAAGTTTCAATCATGATAAGCACGCTCTTGTTTTAAACCAACTAATATAGAAATAAATAGAACTATTTATATATTTATTTTACTATTATGCGATTACCATAAATTTGAATAAAACTACTTGGTTTCGAAAATTGATGATTGATATAATGGTTCGCAATCATTGATATGCAAAACATTTCCAGAAGATCCCTTCTCAGATGGTGCTTTTGCTCATTCATTAGTTTAGGGTCATTTTGATTCGTTTCTGAGTTGACTTATATATCAAGGCGGATTTTGAAAAAAAATACGTTCGGAAGTTTTTGTCGACCGACTTTATCGACTTCAACTTACTTTGAAGACCAGTGATTGACCCAAATTTTCTGCACCGCAGGCAAAATATTGTTTTAAAAAATAAGGGCAAAAAACCGCGTTTTTCAACCAAAAATTTGAGCAAGTTCATCCCACAGATTTTGTTTTTCGGCGCAAGCTCTCCATCAGAATTAGTACATATTGGCGCCAAAGGCGCCCTTAAAAAACATTTAGGGTCGGTCAGCCAAAAATTAATGCTTTAAAATATAATCAAAGGAGAAACCCTGAAGGGAGTCGTACTCCCCTTCCCTAAATCCGCTACTGCCCGCAACTAAATTTTTGCAAATAGGGTGAATAATTCACTTTATCCGAAAGCAAAAATTCTATGTCTTGAAAAAGTACTACTAAAGACTGGGACCCTGGGGTTGTCAGAGGGTCGAGTCGTCTGAGGGCGATGTAACTAACATTTGCTAGACGCAACTAAGTCAGCTAAATGTGACAATAAAAAAATTATGTGATTGAAATTGGGTTTTGAGTCAGCGTTGTATTTGTCAATTAATTCAAATGCCAAATTTTTATTTAGCTTCTCCATGATTTAACTTTCATCTGGCATTTGAGAGAAACCGCAATTTAAATTTAAATGATTTGTACATTACAAACAAACAGCACAGAATGTTCCGACTATAGTATTTAAAAACTACGAGAAAAAAAAATGTTTTTTTTTCTCAAATAAATGTAATTTTTTCTGCGTGATTTGATAAAAAGATCTGATTTAAAATTATAAATTAGTCATACTCGACAGTCATAGTAATATAGGAAAACATGACAACAGAATTTGCAGAAAAATGATTAGATAAAAAAAATCAGTTAAAAAATCAAATTTTTTTTCAAAATTTTTTGCAGGATTTTTTTGAATATTTGAAATTTTTGATTTTTAAAATGGCATAGAAACTCTCTAAACACTTATTTTACTGGAATAAAAAAATAAGCCTGAACAGTTATTTGTAATGGTCCTAAATTAAGCATAAATAACCTAGCTCGCTCGCTTTGTTGCAACGCAAATGTAACTAGAGTGTAAATGCATATAAAACAAAGCAGGTTGGCCGAGTGGTCTAGACCAATCAAAGTCGAGTATACCGGTAGACTATTCTGGCGCAGGCTCGAGTTACTGGCGTTACATCCTATTTTTTGGTTCTAATTTGGTTCAGCTTTCATTAAGGCTGACCGTCAAAAAGAGCAATTTGTGTCAAGGACATTGTGACCTGTTCTTGTGACTAGCTTGCGCCGATTTGTACCGTTTTCGGGGCAGATTATTGATGTTTTATGATGTTATGCTTGACCAAAAATAAGATGAATTATGAAGTTTCCGAGAGTTTTTGCCAATAAATGCTCTGAATAGTTCAAGCATTTGACTTCATAGTTTTTACCAACTTACGGAGATTGAGCGCGCATAAGCTTTACTTGCTCGAATTTAGACGAAAAACCAAAATTTTCAAACCGGTTTTTCTCGACACTGGGAAATTTTTTCAAAAACTTTTAAAGCTGTTCGAATGACGGCTGAGAGAGTTTTAATGTGACATATCGCTCAAATCTATCCGATGATTATCTGTGGTAGCTGATTTTGTGTGGAAAATTGAAAAAAAAAACTAAAACACACCCAAATACAAAGTTCTTCCCCATTTTTCAATTGGTCGGAACAACAATAAAACAAACAATAGTTCTGAATGCTTTGTTGAAACCCTGATTTGGTAGTTTAATGTTCCTACCATAAAATGGCTGGAAATATTGTATTCGGCTGTTTACAGTTTTTCCATTCAAAATGGGATGACACAATGAAACGTCAGATAAGTTCGATTGACCATATTTTGTTTTCACTCGTGTGCGATCTATGTGAAAAAGGATTTCTCAAAAAAATTCCTCACTTTGAAAAACCGGTTTGAAATTTTTTGATTGTCAATTCAATTTGAAAAAATAAAGAGAGCAATTAGACATTTTTTTTTCATCGAACTATGAAAAACTAAAACTTTTTATCTAATGATTTTTTTCAACTTTATATAACGCGTACTTAGAACCAAATATTCCAAAATTTCCAAAATGATCATAGTGAAAAGTTTTTGAAAACAAATAATTGTTTTGGTTTTGTTAATGTTTCGACTTGATAACAACTCAATTAAATCTAATACCATGTTTTAAAAACACTATTTTAGTAGATGTTACTGTTTATTAATTTTCTTGAGCACTGCGAAGCAAGAACTTCGTGGTAATCATTCCTATACTCGCGCAATTTGTACCCTAACTTGATGTAATATGTCGACTGCCATTTAACAAGGTTCTGGCAACTTTTGCTGAAGAAAAATTTGAAGAATTATAAATTGTAAAATTTGTTGATTTTCTTCCTCAAACAGCCAATATCAAATGGTAAATGTTATAAACTGATTAAATAGGGATTAAAGTGACCTAACAGCTTTTCTGGGGTTTGAAACGACTAAAATCCCTGATCAAATAATTTGCTCTGACACTTATACTATTATGGAGTCTTAAACGCGCATGTAAATTGGTTCAGAACCTGTTCAAATCAGCAATTTCCAATACCGAGATTTTTGTTTAAAAGTATCACAGGTGATGTCATTTAGGTTCAATACGGATATATCTTTGTTTGAATATGAAAAATTTTGAATTTTTCTTTTAGATCGTACCAATTGATCTGGATAAAAAACACCCCATTGTTCTTAGACATTGAATTAAAAACTTCGATTGGATTTTTGTAATTGATTTATTTTTTGGTTTAAGGGTTTATTCGAGTTCATTGCTGAGTATGTTTCGCTTGAACGCTTATTTAACGTTGGTATTTGTGTTTCTGGACATGTTCCTCTCAAATTTAGTTTCAAAAAAGACAACCATGAAAGTTTTGGTAGATAAATTTTATGATTTTTTGTCCGAGTAAAAAGTTTGAGTCTCTAGCGTCTAAGTTACGACTGTGGAAAAATATTGGGTGATAAGATAGTGGTCTGAAATGCAAAAAAAATACGTTCATAAGCAACTGAGTCTTACATAAAAATTCAATCATATACCTCTTCAAATGTCCTTCTGACAAAAAGCTTTCAAATGCTTGCAAAAGCGAGGTAGACATAAAAAGGTAAACACAGTTCTATACTTTTCTATACTACGTACATCGATTAAAGCTATCCAGATCGTGGTTTATTTGTTATTATAAAACGGTCGATTGAGTTAGTTTAAAAGCAGCATTTGGTTTCAATCTGAAAAGCAGCTGCAATTTCGTCACATTCCTTCATACTTACCAACAATTTTGTGCATTTTTTCTGGATCTAATAAATCTCATATTTGAATCATAATTTCGCAAAATTAAAAAAAAATAATAAAAATTTACAAAATCTGAAAAATGATCATTACTTGAAATAACCTTTTTGAGAAGTAAATTCCACAAAAAAAACTTATTTTAGTTGTTCAAAACCGTTAGAATAAACTTCAGAACTTTTTAAATTTCAGCATCTAGAAAGATTTCGCTTTTACGGTGGTCAACGAAACCAACCAATAGTTTACGAATGATGGTGTTTTTGAACCGTGGGGATTACGTGTGGCTTGATGACCCGTCAAGCACCAGTGAGATCCACGTTCAAATTGGGGCCCAGGTGTTGCAGGCCGAGAACGGAATCGTGAATCTTCGGGACGACGATGGACGGGAGGTTAGATCATAGAAAATTCAGTTCTGACCTAGAAAAAATAATTGCAAGGTCTGAATCAAAGGGATCGAAAAGAAACAAAAATACATGCTTAAAACAAAATTTAAAAATATGTCAAGCTTTCGTTAATCTCATTCTGGAAATTTAAACTAAAATAAAAAATAGACTTAATGAGATTATCAAAATTGTTGTCATAACAAACAAAACTTTTCAAAAAGTTTTGTTTCTGAAAAGATCTTCAATTTGTGGGTCAATAAACTTTCGAGTCGTTGTCAGGTGAAATGAAAAGTATTAAAAAAATCGTTTTCTCAAGCTTTGAAACATTTCAGGTGAAGATTTCGATGACGAAACAAAACAAGCGCTATTCGGCTCCGAGTCCCATGCACGTTTCGTCCATTCGTGGCTGCGAAGACATGATCGAACTCGGCGACTTAAACGAGGCGGGGATATTACGAAATCTAAACGAAAGATACAAACGGAACCTCATCTATACTTACACCGGTTCAATTCTAGTCGCAGTGAATCCTTATCAACATCTTACCATATATGGAAGTTCTACAATTAACCAGTATAAGGATAAGCGAATTGGTACTTTGCCGCCTCATATTTTCGCAGTTGCCGATAATGCCTACCACAAAATGATAAGAAATACCCAAAACCAGTGCATAATTATATCCGGAGAATCTGGGTCGGGTAAAACTGAGTCCACAAAACTGATTTTACAGTTTTTCGCCGCACTGAGCAATCAACATAGTTGGATTGAACAGCAAGTTTTGGAAGCTAATCCAATTTTGGAAGCGTTCGGGAACGCCCGAACAATGAAAAACGACAACTCGAGTCGTTTCGGGAAATACATAAACGTGCATTTTGACTCAAAAGGGGCAATTCGAGGCGCCAAAATTGACGAATACCTTCTGGAAAAATCTCGACTTACTTTTCAAGCGAAAGCCGAGCGGAATTTCCATATTTTCTACTGTCTAATCGCTGGACTGTCTGAACAGCAAAAAGAGATGCTTAAGGTTTCGAAGTCAGAGGATTTTGTGTATCTGAGAGAGGGATGCAATGTTATTGACAAATTTGGCTATGAGAAGGTAGATTATTTGTTGACAGATCTAAAGCATAAAAAAATGAATTTTTTTCACTTATTGATTTTTTGATTTTTTCTCATTTTTGATAATTTTCATGAAAAACAAGCAATTTTTAGCCACTCCAATCAATTCAATAAATTATGCGAGCAAACTCAAATTCCTTGGCAAGAAATTATAATACATTTCTTTTTCCGTTTGATAAAACCTTTTTTGAAAAAAGTATGCTTCTATACATTAAATCTTTTGTACAAACAAAAACAATTATGTTCGTCGGCCAAACAAATATGTTCGTCGGCCAAACAAATATGTTCGTCGGCCAGTTTCCAAAAAACTAGTCACATATTTGTTGTCTTTTAATATTCATTTGGTTAACCCTCAATCTAGGACCGGAAGGACTTTGCGACCGTGATGAACGGGATGAGAGTGCTGGAGTTCTCGGAAAAAGAGGTGGAGGCGATGATCCAGTTACTCTGCGGCATGCTACACTGTGGCAACATCCAACTCGTTGCCATCGACGGACCCCACGAAGGTTTTTTTATGTTTCAAGAAAAATTGAATTTGAGACTTGTGAATCAAGGAGAACTATAACAATGACGCAATTATTACTTCAAAGTCTCAGACTATCGTTTCAAAAAGTTTTTTCTACATTCATCTTAATATCTTTGCTTTTTTGTGGCATTGTTATACAGCACAAAGAAAAAATATTAACTGACCTGTAGGTTTGGGATCAAATCCCTATTTTGTTGAGAGTCGGTTTGCTTTTTGAATAAAAGTTCTGAATTGAGTCTTGCTTCTAATTTTTGACGATTAATTTTTTTTTCGAAATACCATTTCAGAGTTCAGTCAAGTACAGGAGTCGACCTCGTTGGAAACAACATCCGCTCTCCTCGAAGTATCCAAGGAAACTCTGGTCAAATCGATCACGGAAAAAACCACAAAAACCGGTCACGAGGATGTCCTGTCACTGCACAAACTGGAAAAATCCTATGACGTAAGAGATGCACTCGTGAAAGGAATCTATTCACGACTGTTTGCGTGGATAGTTCGGAAAATAAACCGAGCGATTAACAACGAGCCGGTTTCTAGATTGTTCAAAAATGTTGGAGTTCTCGACATTTTCGGGTTCGAAATATTCGACAAAAACTCATTCGAACAGTTTTGTATCAATTTCGCGAACGAGCATTTGCAACAGTTTTTTGTCCGGCATATTTTTAAACTTGAACAGCAAGAATACAATAACGAGTCAATTAATTGGCGTCATATTGAATTCACCGATAATCAAAATTGCCTTGAGCTTCTTGGGCAAAAACCGATGAACCTGTTTGCCCTTTTAGACGAAGAAAGCAAGTTTCCAAGGGGTACTAACCACACGTATTTGGAGAAAATCTCATATCGGCATTCAAATAACATCTTGTTCAAAAAACCGAAAAACAACAACGACATTCGCTTCACGCTGACTCATTTCGCTGGTGACGTAACGTATGATTGTGACAGCTTTATCGAAAAAAACCGAGATACATTTAGTTCCGATTTGCTTACGATGATCAAAAACTCGAGGAACGATCTGCTAATTGAACTTTTCCGAGATGAAGTTTTGGAGTCGAGAGGTCACGTGGTGCATCATCATACGTTGGGATCCCAGTTCCGGAAGTCGCTGGACTCTCTTATGAAGACTCTTCAGCAATGTCAGCCTTGGTTCGTGCGGTGCATTAAGCCGAATGACCACAAAGGCAAACAGAACTTCGACCGAATTCTGGTCTGCCGACAGCTCCGCTATTCAGGTATTGAATCGTAATCGAAATCGAATTTATTACTAATCGAATTTTTAAGCTTTAAGCTCCGTTAAAAAGTTTACCGGAGAAAATCGAAGGAAAAATAGAAAAAAACTTGTGAAAATGATGCAAGTGAGCCAAAATGAAGGTTAAAATCACATGAAAAACAATAATAAAAGTTGTCAACTTTCGTCGATGACCATTACTTCTAATTAATTTTAATTTGATTTTCAACGAAACTGATAAGCTAGACAAGTTATATTAAATTAAAACTTTTTTTAATAGGTTGTCGAAGGGTAAATAATCAGTTGATATGATATAAATTTGTTTGAGTATACATGATCATTGGCACTTCAGGAAGTGCTGAAACTTTGAATGCACTTAATAATTATTTGATTGTTAAATTGTTTAATTAATTGCAGGAATGATGGAAACAATTCGAATCCGGAAAGCGGGATACCCAATGCGACACCACTTCGACTACTTTTTCCAGAGATACCGGATGCTCCTGGCTACCACGCCCGACCGCATTTCCTTCCGACGGAACCCAGACACGAAGGAAGCCGCTAGAATCATATGCGAAAACTTCCTCGGAGCCAGCGCCGACTGGCAACTCGGCCGGACTAAAATCTTCCTGAAAAACACGCACGACTCATTTTTGGAAACTAAACGAGATGAGCTTATCAACCAAAACGTAGTCAAGCTTCAAAATTGGTTTAGAATGCATACAAGCAAGAAAAAGTTCAAATACACCAGAAGCAAAGCCATCAAAATACAGTCATGGTACCGAATGCGGAAAAGCCGAAAAGCATACTTTAAAATGCTGAAAGGATTTAACAGACTTCAAGCGACCTTCAGGTCACGAGAACTAGTTAAAATTTATAACCAAAAGCGAGAAATGATTATCGCTTTGCAGAGTCTATGCCGGGCAAAAATAGCCCGCGACAAGGTCAAAACAGAACGTGAGGCTTCGAAAGTTGTCACAATTGAAGTTAAACATGTAAATTCTGATTTAAGAAGCGACGTTTTGCTTGAATTGGAAAGACACAAGGAGCAGTTCTGGATCCAGAAAAATCTAGAAGAATCTAGACTGAGAAAAGAATTGGGAAACGTTAAAGAAGCGCAAAAAGAAGCGCAGCGTTTGTATAACAATCGACTGAAAAGCTTCAAGCGAAAGATGATGGAAAATCCCGAAAAAATTTTAAGCCAGTCAAGGAATAAAAAAGATAAAAATCAGTTGGAAGTTTCTGATTTTGACGAAGTTGACAACTTATCAGTATCTGGAAGCGAACGTCGTGTTATAGCTCCTCCGCAAGCGTTCCAGGACTTGGAAAACTTAGACGACAGCGGATCGACTTTCGGAAGGATCCAAGCGATTACTCCGGAGTCCGACGAGAGAACTTCTTTGACGCGGAGTTACAATGAGTACCAGTTTTCAAAGTTCGCTCTGACGTATTTCCAGGTTTGGTATTTATGTGCAGGTTTTATATTTGCTATTTATCTGAAACAGAATTGATAACCGAAGTAATGTTTTTGACTGCCATAATCCCATCGCAAAAAGCTGGATTTTGTACCCCTTTAAAAATTTGGATCATTTACTCATACGAGATACGGCAGCAATTTATAGTCTAAAATGTTTCAGATTTTAGAGCGCACAAAATCACTTTTTTGTGCCTTTTGTATTTTTATTTTCTTTTTAAAAAGAAAAACTCGAAGTTAATTTTACTGAAGGTGAAGTGAAGTAAAACAAAAATTGAATACGAAATTTTTAATTTTAATGATGAAAGAACAAAATAGAATGACTGGTTTTAAGGGCAACAACACTTCCACTCACGTGACCAACAGTATTAAGCAGCCGCTGACGTCAATCAAGGACTCTATTGACACCTGTGCTGCTATTTCTATTTTCAACATCATCCTGCGATTCATGGGGGATGTCCCCTTTTCACCTACCACCGCGTTCAATTCCACAAACACGTCTACCTCAGGGCAAGAAAGAGTACCATTACTCCATTTTTTTCATTATTTTTTTCAAAAAAAGGTTCCATGTGATCTGTTTGCATGAATATTCTAAACTCAAGGGTTGAATTTGCTAACACAGTTTGATTTTCCAGAAAGGATCTAAAATGGTTTACGGATAGGTAAGAAATAATATCAACTCTAAGGGGTTTCATATGCCTATATTTTTGCTTGTATGTATGGTCAATTTTTGAGAAACATTTTGATAAAACCAAATGGCGGATTTTTTGAGGGAAAGGGGCATGTTTAAAACTTGAAAAAAGTTTCGATCTTTTTTAGGTCGTCCAAACTGATTTTCTGAGTTCTCCCGTATTTAGGCACTTTTTGGAAAATTATTATCAAAAAGTTGCGTTTTTTCGGCGCGCTCCCCCTTAAATATTAGTATAGATTGGCGCCAAAGGCGCCTTTAGAATGATTTTAGGGTCCGTCAGCCAAAAATAGATATCTTAAAAAAGTTCAAAGGGGGACCCAGACACGAAGGAAGCCGCTAGAATCATATGCGAAAACTTCAGGGGTCGAATACATCCTTAAGTAAAAGCGTCCGCCCCCCCCCCCCGCCACCACTAAATCCGCCCCTGAACTAAGGTATTATATACATTGGGGACTTTTCCCATGTTGGATAGAGGGCTTTTTAAAATAAACTGTCAAATCATATTAGCTTTTTCTGACAGGTACGGAAGTTTCCAGAGTCGCGGTAGTCACAACTCGGCAATGTTTGCAAATGCATCGGCCGACTCGAACAATGTAATGAACAGAATTCACGATACTATTCGAAAAAACAAACAGTTCCAGGAAAACTTCAAAGGTATTTTTGTTCTCTCCGCCAAAGATAAGCCGAAATTTGTTTAGTCGTTTTTTTTTTCACGCAAATTTAAGAAGAAAAAAACAGCGTCAGATGGTCTCCAATAAGACAAAAGCAGTGAATCCTTGCAAAAAATTCAAAAAACTCAAAATAATTTGAAATGTAAATACCCTGTGCTCATCAAATTGATTTTCTCTTTTTTTAAATAAAGCATTCTCTGACTCGACTACAGTAGAAGACCCGGGATTCCCCGCCATGGCAAACACTGGAAAGAAAAAAACTCTGGAAGTTATCGTGTTTAAACTCAGAACTTTTTTTAAATTGGGGTGGGGGGGTTAAGACCCGAAATCGAGCAAATGTATCTCCGCTATCAGATTAAACTAAAGCCTTAGTGCAACCTCAAACCTCATTTGTGTTTTTTAGACTACCAGACATCCAAGAAGAATTCAGTCAGCCGAAAACTGGCGTCTCTCACTTTGAAGAAGAAAAGCGCCCTCTCTCAACACATAACCCAGTCCAACTGGTCCGACCAAGACTCGTTCAACGCAGTTGAACAAACTCTAATAACACCTCTAGACCAGGTACACTATATCGTCGGCTATGGAATCGTTCGGCGTACTTTACGAGATGAAATTTACTGCCAGATTTGTAAACAGCTCAGTCAAAACGAAGACAAACAAAGTCGTGCACGAGGTTGGATTTTGTTGTCCTTGTGTCTCGGATGTTTTGAACCTACTGCCGTTTTCAGCAACTACCTGAAATCTTTTCTCAACAACGCGCCGGCTAACTTTTCGAGTTACTGTCATAGACGATTGTCGCGAACTATGGAAAATGGTCCACGATCTCAGCCTCCGAGTTATTTAGAACTACAAGTTAGCAAATACATGAAGCACTTAACACTTCCTGTTATTTTGATGGATCATTCGATCAAAAAACTCGGAGCCGACTCGGCCACGACTGCTAAGGAACTCGTAAACGATATTTGTGATAAAATCGGCCTGCAAGATCGGTTCGGGTTTTCGATTTTCATTGCTTTGTACAATAAAGTGAGCTCTTTGGGAAGCGGAAACGAGCATATTTTAGACGCAATTTGTCAATGTGAACAGTATGCTAAGGAACTCAAAGCTTCGGAAAAAAATGCACCTTATAGATTGTATCTGAGAAAAGAGTGCTTTAAACCATGGCATGATCCTATGGAAGACAAAATTTCGACTAATTTGATCTACCAGCAAGTTACGAGGGGAATAAAATATGAAGAATATCGATTCGAAGACGAAGACGAATTATGTCAAGTCGCGGCCGAAAGGTATTTTATCGAGCACAAAAAACGAGGACCAAACGACCATAACCACTTAAACGAAATGTTGAAAAAATATTTGCCCCATTTTGGCGAAGGAAATTACTCTCTTGACTTTTCGTACCACGAAAAAGTAGTGAAAGCATTACATGAAGTATTTGCAAATGAACGTTCAATTGACCTAATAAAAGCAGAAACGGTTGAAATGGCTCGAAACAAATGGCCTCTTCTGTTCTCGTTTTTCTACGAGGCGCTCAAAATTTCGGGACCCAACTTGAGACGTAATGACGTAATAATAGCTCTAAATTGGACTGGAATTTTCCTAACCGACGAACGAGAAGACGTTTTACTTGAAATAACTTACCTTGAAGTTGTTTCTGTGAACGTGATTAAACGTGCGAACAAAACACCGTCCATTGAAATTCAGCTTATAACACGTGAAGAATTTTTGTTTGAAAGTTCAAATGCTGAAGAAATTCATGAAATTGTTCAGCATTTCCTCGAAGGTCTGAAAAAGAAGTCTAAATATTTGGTCACAATTTCAGCGAGCAGAGAAGGATTGAATCAACAAGACTTCTTGAGGTTCCAAAAAGGCGAGCTTCTGGAATTGAGTTCGGGATTAACAGGTTCGGATATTTCCGACAAGTCTATTTTCACAGCCCGGAATGTGGATTCGGGCGAAATCGGAGTTGTGAGTCATGACCAAATTTACGTTTTACCCAGTATCAACCGTCCTTTGCCCGCAATTCTTCAAAGATTCGATTACAATCCAAATGAAAGGTCACATTTTTCACGAATCAGTCGACCTCTAAACATATCAGGGGAAGAGGTTCAAATCCCGCACACGCTGGAAGTTTTCGCACAGGATAATTTCCGTCAGAGTGAAAAAAGACGAAGTGTTACACTTAGAAGGTACAGGAATGTTCTTTGGGCGTTTAACAAGGAGCCGATCAAACAACCTTTGCTGAAAAAGATTCTTCAAAGTGATTACATGGCTGAAAGTGCTTGCAATATGTTCACAGTACGTATTTTTACAAGTTCTTCTTTTTGTCTAAATATTCGGTATAGAGTTTAATCAAAGCTTTGTCAATTAATAATATGGCAATTATGAAAACTAAATGGTGAATCAATTTTGAGTAACTATCACTTAACCATGTCCAAATCATGAACGAATAATGCGAAATAGAATTTTGAGGAAAGCATTGGTAAAAAAAGACGACTTTTTCAGCTTTTCAGTACATTTTCAAATTTGTTCACCAAGAAAAAAATTGAGGAAAGCTTTGGTTGGTTAATCAAAAGACGAACTTTCCAGTATGTTTTCAAAATTGTTCACAAAGTGTTCTAATTTATTCTAGAATATTCTCAAGTACATGGGTGACTTCCCGTGCAAGAAGGTGAGGTCGGTGACGGAGTTGACAGATGGGATGTTCCTGCCTGCTATCCAGTGTGAGCCCCTCAGAGACGAATTCTATTGTCAGGTAGCTTATCCATATTTGAATGAAGTTTGGAGGGTAATTTTTTGGTCAAAACTTTCTTCTAGGCTGCTTTAGAAGGAAATTTTTTTTGGTCTAAACTTTTCAAAAAGTGCCTATAAACGCCTTTTTTGGCTTGTTTCTTCTAGGCTGCTCTAGAGGGTAATTTTTTTAGTTTAATTTTTTCAAAAGATGCCTATAAACACCTTTTTGGCTTGTTTCTTCTAGGCTGCTTTAGAAGGTTTTTTTGGTTTAAATCTTTCAAAAAGTGCCTAAAAACGCCCTTTTTGTCTTGTTTCTTCTCGGCCGCTTTGAAAGGAATTTTTTTTTGGTCTAAGCTTTTCAAAAAGTGCCTATAAACGCCTTTTTGGCTTGTTTCTTCCAGGCTGCTTCAGAGGGTATTTTTTTAGTTTAAATTTTTCAAAAAATGCCTGTAAACATTTTTTTGGCTTGTTCTTCTAGGCTGCTTTAGAGGGTAATTTTTTTGGTCATAAAATTCCAAAAAGTGCCTAAAAACGCCTTTTTAGTTTTTTTCCAGGCCGTTTTGAAGGCTAACGTTTTTGGTCAAAAAACGTTAAAAGTTCTCAGTTCTTCACCCTCTGAGAACTGAGAACTGACCTCCATCAGCATGCTGGCTTACTCTTTTGTTAAAAATACTGCTACCTGTGTGTTGTTGTTGCTTAAATTACCAAGACATTTTCCTGCGAAATGTCCTAGCCTACCACATGAGTTATACTTCTTTCCCGTTGAAGGACGAGAATTATCCATGCCAGGTTTTCTCTCGCAGTTTGGGCATTTCGATTTACTGTCATTTTGAGCTTTTTTTCTATCGTTTCCTGGTTTTTTGAAAGTTGTTATAGAACTGAATGCATTTTCTTCTTTGCTATTAACCTCAGCGGGCCCAAGTCGCGAGATGAGCTACATTCGTATCATCTTGTCTTCAGCATCATAGGAGTTCTGATAACTTACATTACTAGCAGCTACAATAAGACTTCCAAGAAAGTCGTTTTTGTCAGACCCTCCTTGATTCTGAACGGTCGATAGGAACATGGCTCGTTCAGCAACGACCACATGTTCTCTGGGTCTGCAGTAAACACCTTCCACAGTGTGGATCTCATTGATTGTCATCTCGCTGAAGTTTTTTGGCGAAACTAAACTCCTCATCTTATTTTGAATGTCTGCAGGATTCTTTCCGTCTGCAGCCTTGCTGCTTTTCTTCTCTGAGCATGCAACCATCCAAGGAACCGTCTTATCAGGTTTTGAAAGTTCTAAGGAAACTTCAGGATTATTAGTTTCAAGTTTCCAGTCCGGAAACCACTGTTGTGGATCGTTGCATGGCAAGAGATTAGTTACAAAGCTTTTACTGAGATTGATGTTAATGACATTTTCCTTGAATTTTAGTTGGTATTTCGCCACAAAGTTCTTATCAGTGGTAAGTTCTTATCAAAAGTATACAGAAAAAACAAGATAGGTCATCAGTGATAACTATCAGTTTTAGTCCACCGGTTCCCATTGTTTTTATTTTTTTAATTAAAATTACTTTCGAATTATGTAGCATCGCATTCATGGATAAGATAGATTAATATCATGAGAATCTATCTTGGTTGACACTTTGTGATAGTTGGTTAAATTTAACAGATAAGAAAGTGACAACAATAAACATAGAATTGCCTCTGAACCAATTTCATGCGCTTCAACAGGTAAGTTCATATATTTGTTTTCTTCAGGTCACATACTAAGAGCTTTAACTTCGATGATTTCTCAGATCATCACATTTCACTGATTTTTTAGTAATCCAAAAAATATATACATTGTAAACTCGGAATTGAAGTTTTTCTTTGATTCTTTAATTTAAATTAACTTCGTTTTTCAATTTACTCCCAATTTTAGGTGTTAGGCGTAATGGCGTGCCTTTGCGTAAACATCTCGAACCAAATGTTTTTTTTGTGGGTTATTGAGTTTGATTTTTCAGTTTTCGTTCCAATCAAGCTCTGATTTGATACGTAACCTCCTAATTTTCTGTGTGCTAATGATATATCCTGTTAAACATGGCCAACTTAGTTGAACAAGAGGAATGAAAGCAGGTAAACAGAAAAAAAATGGAATTGATTTTTTTGAAAAAAACTTCATTTTTTGATTTTCGAAGAAAAAAATAGATGGCCATAAAAAATTTTTTGAACTTCCGGACTCTTTTGTGATTGTCACTTTTTGGATTAAATTAACCCAATGAGAAAACTAGATAAATAGATAAAAACATTTTTCCGCTGGAAAATCTGAATATTAAATTCCTCTTTTGAAACCAGAAGTTGATTACGTTTTTCGTGACTCTTAAACTTTCGTTGTTCGATAGTGAAATTTGCCTTCTTTTTACAACAAAAATGAACTGAACTTAAAAAGAAATTAAAAATCAAACTGCGAAAAATTTACTGAAAAAAAATCACTGAGTTATTTTCTACGCCCATTAATCTTAATAAAGAATGTATGTTTTTTGAAGCGCATCTATTTTAGGTCATGAAGCAGTTAACTGAAAATCCGATGCAGTACTCTGTGACTAAGGGGTGGGAGTTGCTGTGGCTCGCCACTGGAGTGTTTCCCCCCTACTCGCAGAACGTGATCAAAGAGTTGAACCAGTTTCTCAAGACCAAGAACCCCCAGTATGCCCCCTTCCACAAACAGTGCACCGAAAGACTCAGTAAGTTGTAGTTCACGGCGCACCCATCCTTAAATTTCAATATATTCATAGTTTCTCTCACAACATTTTTCTACTATGTTTTTTACTATTTTTTCTTTCATTCTTTCAAACTATTTTAAAATTTCTCCTAATTAAGCTGTTGTAAGCCTGCTCGCTTGCTTTATTCGCTCGAGTTAAGACGAAAAATCAAAACTTGAAACCGGCTTTTCTCAACACTTGGAATTTTTTTTTGAATTCTTCAAGTGTCGTTCGAATAACGAGTGAAAGGGCTTTAATATGATATTACTCAACCCAGTCCGATGATTATTTGTGGTAGCTGGTTTTGCGTGGAAAACAAAAAGAAAAAAAAATAAAACACACCCGAATACAAAGTTCCTCCCCATTTTCAATGGTCGGATTAAATATGGAATTCTTTTTCAACAACGCTACTTGAGAGAGCGCCATTAGACTAAGAATTAGCCTGTATTCATTGAGCGTTTCTATCACACCAGCCGGAAACTCTTTTTGATAAGTAAGCCAATGTCCATTAATTGCCTCGGTGAAATAGAACCATCTGAATAAAATAACACAACAGCCATAACAATGTCTGAAAAAATATTATAATGTCACTCAAGTTATTTAGTTCGGGCTCGCGTTTTTTGCAAATTAATTGAAAAGGTTTTTTTCAGGATTTGAACAAAAATATTTTGAGCTCCTAGCAACTAAAACCAACTGAATACGGGATATTTTTTTATCAGATTTGCCATTTTTCAGTTTTTTTTTCGTCGAATTGTAGCTTCTGAGCTCAATTGTTTCAAAGCCACCTGGAGTTTTTAATTTGATTTTTGATTTGTTTTGGGTTTTTTTGAGAGTATAACACAACAGCAATCATGAACCGCTTACAGAGATCAAACTCACGTGCCATAGTGTTACATTAATTGTTCTGCCTAGAATAAGCTTTGAATATGTTTCTGATTCTAGGTAAGATTCTGCGGCTGCCTGTTCGCAAGTATCCCCCTCACGAGAACGAAGTGGAAGCCATACAGGTCCAGAAGTTGGGCATATTCTACAAGGTAAACAAAACATCCAGTGAGTCATCATCGGTAGATTTAAGGAAAAGTTCATCGTCGGCATCATTGGCAGATGGCAGACAAGTCAATGGAATAAGAAACAAAACGAAAACCAAAAAGGCGTTCATGGTCGATTGGAACAACACTCGAACTAAGACCATTTACCCCCGCTGTTGTTTCCCTGCTAAAGAACTGCATGCATTTTTTTTTGTTATTTTTCTGGGCTGAGTAATGTTGCCTCACCCGCAAGCAACGAGCACGAATCATGGTGGTCCTCGTACATCCGACCTTTCGATTGAGCGGCGGAGACGTTCCCCAATAATTAAGATCTGAATTGAAAATTGTTATATGAAAGTCAAATTCTCAAAATTCGACCAAATTGTAAAAGAGAAATTTTTTACCCAGAATCGAAGAAGCTAGTTTGCTGGCTGTCACTTGGGATCCTAATTGACATTCGGAACTATTCACAACACTTAACTGAGACTATTTTAGAGAAAAAAAATTATTTGTTCGATCAAAAATAGATGTAGTAGAAAATAGTACTTAAGGGAGATTATTTGATAGTCAGTGCGCTGATGCATACAGGCAAAAGGAAGAACGTATAGTACTGATTAAAAGTAAACTATCGTTAGAGTTGTGCAAGGTAACCTTTTGAATTCAAGATTTTTTTAAAACCCAAGCCGTTTGACAACCTATTAAGCTCTTTGAACGTTTTTGAGCCTTTACACACTGTATGTCCTACCCGTAATTCCCATTTCATTTTCAAGGTCAACTTCCCCGACGACTCCGACCTGCCGTTCGAGGTGGACAGCTTCACCCGGTCACGTGACCTGACTCAACAGATAGTGGAGAGACTGAAGATCAGAAATGCCAATGGGTTCTCACTGTTCGTACGCATCGACGACAAGGTAAATATTGATGACACGCAACTCAATATGTCATCTCAATTGCATAACATGTATTGTACCCAGGAGTGGATTTTTTTTTGGGGGGGCGCTTTTTTTTTGACAAAATTTTCCAAAAAGTGCCAAAAAAAATGCTTTTTTGACGTTTTTTTTTTCAAAGAAAGGCCTGTGGCGCAGAAAATTTGACCAAAACAGCGTCTTTTTAGTGCTTTAGGAGAGCTCGGAAAATCTATTTTCCCGGCCTAAAAAATCAATTAACCGACTTTGTATCTGTATGCTCACTTATGAGTTCGAGTGAACATATATGGTTGATCTTCTTGGAGAATTTGTAGTATAAATAAATTTTATCTGGGAAGGGGGATTCGTTTTTTGGTACAAAATTCTCACATATGCTTAACCGCTGAAATTTTTTGTGGGGGCGGCAAAAAGTCACTAGGTGCCATAGGGGGGGGGTAATAATTAAAGAGATTGGAAAAACTAAAATTGGTTTCCATTTAAGGTGATAAGTGTGGAAGAGACGGATTACTTCTTCGACTTCATCCGATACATTACAGACTGGATCAAACGGGAAAAGAGCTCACCCGAAAGGTACTTCAAGTTTCGGCTCTTTTCTGTTTTACTGTTTTACTCACAACTGCTCGCTTTAATAATTGGAATAACTGATCATCATTCTCAAATCTGATCGGTGTAGAAATTTTTTGACAACTTCCCGGGTTGACCTCCATACACCGAAAATGATTATCATACAATTCCATAAATCAATTGTATGGAAAAATGCTTGTCATACAATTTCGAAAATTGGTTAAAAATATATAAACTAATTTTTGTGGCTGTTTGATTCTAATAAAACAGCTTTGAAAAAAACGCTTATCATACAAATCCCATTTATGAAAAAGTTGTATGTCAAGCATTTTTTCATTATAAATAAAATTTTCAGAAATGCTTTGAAAATGTTTTTTGAGAAAATCTATATGATACTAGTGTTTTTCGCTGGATAAAAGCTTTTTGTTCATCGAAAACAACATTACAGTTTGAAATGAAAAAAAATGCTTATAATACAATTCCTATATATGGAAATTGTATGATAAGCATTTTTGGTCAACCCGGGTTTTTATAGAGATTGGGGTGGTTTAGGCTGTGACAAAAAGCGGCTACCGCTCAAAATCCCTTCATATTTTGATCTGCTTTGGGCGAACTTTTGAACGAAATACAAACAAAATTTAAGCGGTTTTTGATTTTTTATCACTTTTATGTTACGCTTAAACTGGGCTGAGGTGCTCCAATAATAATAAAAAAAACACTATTTTCTAGGTGTAAAATAGTTCGTGTTGAGTGTTTGAATTGTTTTATGTACCTCTTCATTGTTAGTTTGCAACCCTCTTTCTGGATTCGAAGGTGTAGCGTAGTGAGAAAAACCTGAAGCGCCACATTATCGATTCTGATAGATTTTTTCAATTGTGTTCTGTTCTACGGAGCACAAAGCGGCCACAATACTTCTTTCTGTCTTTCGGATTTTATGAATCAATATTGAGTCCTGTCAAGAATTTTGAGTGACCACTGATTAGATAAGCCAAAGTTTTTTTGGCAGCGAAATAAGTTGAAGATATCGGCAGATAGATGATGGGAAAAACTCGAGTGAAGTCAATGTTGGTTTGTTTGCCGGCCTTAAAGCGGCTATGCGTTCTATTAGAGCAGCATTAACAAAATAATAGTTTATGGCTAGACCTAAAGCGTCCTTACCGTACGATCAGCATAAAAATTGACCAAAAACTTAATCGGGAATAAAGATACTGATAGAAATATATTACAAAAACGGTTTTAATGAAACAAGATAACGGTAATTTGCAGACAGCAGAGAGTTTTGAACAAATTGAGAGGTATAATTGTCAGTTAATTCAACACATTGGGTACAAGTATGATAGTTGCCCGGGTCAAGGTCCCAGACTGATGTCCAGACTTTCGCGAAAAAATTTTGGCATGCCCAGACTTTCCAGACCAAAATTAGGCATGTCCAGACTTTGGCGACCAACACCTGACATTTCCAGACTTTTGCTACCATGATGATCCGTCGCGACTATCGCGACCGAAGCGGAGGTGGCGCGACCAAAACATCGCGACTTATATTTGGTATGTCCAGAGTTGCCATTTCCAGACTTTCGCGACCGAAAAACTAAGTCGCGACTTTCGCGACCGAGGTGGATACGGAGCGACCCTGCGGCTCAGGAAACGGCGTGACCGGCGCGACCAAACTTAGCCATTTCCAGACTTTCCAGACCTAGATGGAGACGGTGCTACTTTCCAGACCAACATGGAGACGACGCGACTTAAAAAAAGTTTTTCAGGGCTTTCGCGACCGAGGTGAAGACGGCGCGATTCAGGAAACGGCGCGACTTAAAAACGGCGATTCAGGAAACGGCGGGACCGGCCCGGCCAGCGCGACCAAAATGTGCACTTTTAAGACTTTCGCGACTGAGGTGGAGACGGCGCGAATTTCCAGGCCGAGGCGGAGACGGCGCGACCAAGAATCATTTCATCGCAACCGTAGTGGAAGCGGCGCGACTTTAGCGCTCAGAGTGGAGACTGCGCGACTTTCCACACCAAGGCGGAGACGGCGCGACTTTTCAGACTAAGGCGGAGACGGCGCGACTTTCCAGACCGAGGCGGAGACGGCGCGACTAAGAAACAATTCTTTGCGACCGTGGTGGATGCGGCGCGGCTTTAACAATCAGAGTGCTAAAGACGGCACAGACTTTCGCGACCCATGTCCAGACTTTCGCGACCAAATTTTGGTATGTCCAGACTTTCGCGACCCATGTCCAGACTTTCGCGACCAAATTTTGGTATGTCCAGACTTTCGCGGCCCATGGCGCGACTCATGTCCAGACTTTCCAGATTCAAACTCTCGGCGCGACTATGCAATTTGGGTCTAAATCCGGATGTGACGCGACCCCTAAAGTCTGGACATGAGTCTGGGACCTCGACCCGGGTGGGTCCTCTAAATCAAGATGAGTACCTGAATAAAACTTTCTAGACATTAACGTCTTAGAAAATATGGTTCGTAGTTGTTTATTTGTGTTTTTAAAGATTTCACAAAAATTGCTGGACCCAATTTTCATGCTTGCTTTTTCCTGGGACCCAACTATTAGACTTGTACTTTTTTCGCAAACATGTAAAATCAAAATAAACCAATTGTTCCAAACATATAACCAATTGCTGAGAGAGATCATTGTAAGTGAATAAAACCAATTATTATCATCTCTTGTTTTTCTCTTCAACACTATAGATACTATCTGGACTCCTTCACCTACCAGCTGTTCTTCATGAAGAAGACGTGGACAGACACTATTCCGGGCAGGGACAGAGTGGCCGACAACATGTTCCACTACTTCCAGGAAGTGCCAAAACTCAACCGACACTACCACGACGTCTCACTCGGTCAGTACAGTCACTTCTCAACTAATTTCAACTTTCCCCTCCCCCCGCCTTAGAACTATAGTTATATATGCAATTCTCCTAAACTTTACAATTGATATACAACTATGCAACCCCTGTCTTGTACTGAGTACAGATTGGCCAGGGTTATAAAATCGTAATTGATTTATTAATTATATGCGAGTTTAGCTCATGCTAACGAACTTTCCCTTATTGCAATTTCCCTTAAGTAAAAATATCTGCTATCTGGGCTAACTAAAAATATCTAAGTTTTTTATCCGGCCAAATCGTATGGTGAAACAGTACATCCCGCTCAGAGGGGGGGGGGGGCATCTTCAAAAAAAACCGATCCAATGAATCCGAACAAATTCGAACGCCGCTTAGCTTTTATCTATTGGAATTCAGCACGGTATGCTGCTTTAATTTAAGATGCGAATGGCTGTTTTCTTCTTTCCCTAGTCCCAACTAACACAAAAAAATTTAATTATCAGCACTATGGTGTAAAATGCGGTTTTACAAGGCAATGTATGTATTGTATTTTACGTTTGTAATAGCTTAATTATTCAGCAAAACGTTAAGTATGGTTATATTTTGCAAGTGGGGTTGGGTGGGGGTGGGGGGGGGGGCAAAGTGCCGAGTGGTTAAAGCACAGTGAAGCTGTGCATAATAGTTCATTGTGATCAAAACTTAGTGATCGAAACTCGTCATTTTTGCTGGCGCTGTTTGAAAAATATAAAGGATCGCGCCCGGGGTTATTTTAAAAGAGTCACTTTGAATTTTTTTCAGATGAAAGTTTTTTTTTAAATTCTGTAGTTCTGAAAGTGGCGCTGTTTGAAAAGTATTCTTGACCTTTTGAATTTCGGAACGATATAGTGTTGTTCAACGCTTAAAATTATTAGTTCATGGTTATTAATCGTCTTTAGCCCCCGCTAAACTTCGATTCAGATATAGCCACCTGAATTATTTTTACTATATGTTAAAAATACTGGGTAATTATTATTTAGATCAAGCCGCACACCTGGCTGCTTTGCAGTACAAGGTCAACTTCGGCGATAGTCGACTAGAGATCGGGAAGAAAATCAACCAACACCTCCGAAGCTTCGTCCCTGAAAAACTCATCGACTGTCAAAATTCGAACGAGTGGAAAACCCAAATTATGGAAAAACTCAAAGCTCTGGATGACGTAAGAACAGCTGAAGATGCGAAGCTGAAGTTTCTCCAGTTCATCTACAGATTGCCGACCTTCGGAAGCGCCTTTTTTGAGGTCAAGGTCAAACAAGAGTTCGACTCTCTGTATCCAGAACAACTTTTGGTGGTGATCAACAAAAATGGAGTGAGTCTTCATAATAAAGACACGAAAAAAAACTTGATCACTTTTGCTTTGACTCAAATTTCAAATTGGAGATCTGGAAAAGATTATTTCCACTTAACAGTCGGAGGAAATTTGTTACGAACGGGGAAGCAAATGCTGTTCGAAACTTCGTTAGGCTACAAAATGGATGACCTTTTGACCTCGTATGTGAAGGAACACCAGAAGATGAAGCGTGAACGAATGATGAACTCTCAGAGAGGTCAAAGAAGAGGTCAAATGAATTACTCCAGTGCGACTTCGACTAGTTCGTCTGTTTTCAGTGCAATGAACTTTAAGCCGTCTAATTCATCGAGTTCTTCGCAGAACCCAATGGCCAATGTACTGTAAAACTAAACTATTTTATCCAAAAAAATAATCATAATCATAATAATAACGACAATCATAATAATAATTATTATTATGATTACTATTATTATAACATCGATTGCTGTAAGTCAATGTTTGTTAACAAGCTGTTTGTCAATGTTTGTTAACAAGCCCCATAAGCATGCCTTAAGAAAATGGCCGCAGTAAAAAAATTCAAAGCAATTTTGGATCGCAAGCAATCACTTGCTCCTGAAAACCTTGACATTGCTATTGTTTTCAATCCTTCTTGCGGTTTATTTTTATTGTATTTTAAGGACCAGCAAGATCTCTCCAAATCCGTTATGATCGATTATTTAACCTTAACGCTGGTAACTGTTTACAATTTCTTTCAAAATTTCTCATGAAGTGGTTATAGAGTATAATATACAGATCAACTAATTGTGTAATCAATGATGTTTTCTATTCGACTTAAATTATCAGAATAATCGCATCTAGTGCAGTTCAGATTACATTAATGGCAGTTTTAAATTTTTCATCAGTAATTTCAAATCATTTTCTGGTGCCACAAGCATATCTTGCACGAAAAAGGATTAATTTATTATTATTTGAGAATCATGATAGGTGCCTTGATTTAATTATCATCCAATTTCAATAGACCATCTTTTTAAAATCCTTCATTTTTAAACAAATAAATGCTGAAAGCTCTACCAATAAAGTTTATGGTAATTTATTTTAAATGATTTGAGGTAAGTTAAAATAAAGGTAAATTTCACATTAACATTACCTTAACTTTACCTTAAAAGTCTGTTAGGTTAAACTTTAGCCTAACTGAATTAAAGTAAATTACTTTAATTTAAGTTTAATTAACTGAAAAATGTAAGATTGATTTTAACTAAGCAGGAATAAGGGAAAATAAGATAAAAACGAAATTATCCTGACAAACAGAACTTTGAGAAAGAGATTCAAAACTTTGGCCGTAGATTAAAACATTGAATCTGTTAGTCAATCTATCAAAACTTCCAATTCCATCATTCAAGGAAAACGAAAAAAAATCGTATTTATGGATGTATCCATGTATGGATGCACATGCATGTATGCCACAAACCCTTGCGAATAGCTCAGGGAAAAACTTGACAGGCCAATGGGTGATAAAAAACAAGATTACCAAAAAAAAAAAACACAAAACGACAGTCGGCCGATGGCATGGTGGCACAGAATGTTCCGAGCACAGTGATGAAAAAAATTTCAAAAACACATTTTCAAATTTTTTTAAACAATCGAACCAATTTTCAAAAACGTTTTTTTTTTTCAAACTTCATTTTGCTAATTTTCTTTTTTTTTCAGTTGAAGTATGCTGAGTTGAGTCAAAAACTAAAATATAATAGGCTAATAGCTGGAGATCATGAGAGCTTAAAAATGTCAAATATGCAGAGTCAAATATGCTGAAGAGTTGTAATGGTAGATCAATATATTGTGTTTCAGTTCATTTGTCTGAAAAAGTGAAAAAAAAACTGGAAAAAAAATGAAAATAAACCTTATTTTTGATCCAGGTGTGACGAAGGGATCTGAACCAAAGCCTAGATTACCGGTAGTAATACTATCATTGGTACGTTTTCCTCATAAAATAAATAGAAAAACCAACAAAAAATGAATAAATTTCTCGAAAATTGTTTCAATTTTTTGTTTCATTTTTTGTCATAACTAAATCTTACGCACCTAGCTCGTTATATCAGCCTTCTATAAGTTGCCTATTTTAGCCTGTAGTAAGCCTGCTCACTTGCTTCATTTGCTCGAAATTGGACCAAAAATCTAAAATTTTTAACCGGTTTTGCTCGGTGGTAAGATTTTATTTTTCGAATTTTTTGATATCGTTCAAATTACGACTGAAAAGCCCTTAATGTGATACATCACGGGCCATTCCAATGATTTTTGGGGTACGTAATTAAAAGTGGAAAAAATCAAAAAAAAACGAATTGGAAGGCAAAACTCCTCCCCTTTTTCAGTTGTCAGATCAATAACTTTAGGAAATTTTAGTCTCGTAATTTAAACTTACTGTTTACGCTTGAAATGAAAAATTGAGAAATCAACTCAATCATTTCGAGAAGATTAAGCTCAACGAAACTATCTTGAAAAAACCTATAAATCTTTAGACTTGAAATTTTTTTTAATAACTATTTTGAAAACCCCCTCACACCTTGCTGAAAAAAAATTAAGAAATAGACTTTATTTGTTAAAAGAACTTCTCAATTATGATATAGCAGAAAAGAATTGAGAATTCAGCGCCATCTGAATTTTTTGTGTAATTCTATCTATAAACTGAAGAAGATATGGAAACTGAGACCTTTTTTAAAAGAATTGAACACGAATTAGGGTTAAAAAGAGCTTTTATAATAACGCTTTCAATATGATACCAGGCTTGTTTATCCACGAGCTTTCTTTGAGGTAGACAAATTTAGGCGACAAAAAAGCAGACTTATCCAAATTTCGCTCCCTTTTCTTCTTGTGGACGAAGTGGTCGCTTCAATTATCAAGCTTATATCACCATTTAGCAGAAAAAAAGTTGACAACCATTAAGCAGAAAATAAACTTCATTATATCAGTGCATTAGAAGCAAGTGTCTCCCAAATTTTTTGAAAGATCAGATTTTAAACAAGAAATCATGTTATTACAAAAACTTTGTTTAGGATTGCATTTTTTTCTTGCTCATAATTAAAAACTTTGATGCCTCGCGTTAACTCCTGCTGTTTGCCAGAAACTGAAATCAGAGCAGTGCCTGGTTTAATGTAAAAAATGCACAGTCATTAAAAAAAAGATTTTGTAAAATGTGGCTACATTTAAGTAATCAATTTTTCAAACCGGTTTTTCGAACACAGAAATTTTATTTGGGACGTTTGCAAATTTTGAATTTGAGCAACAACGCAAAGTTTTTAAATTCACGAGAAAAGAGACTGCGATATGTTATATCACATGATCCCATCCCAAGTTTGATAATTTGACAATGCGTGGAAAAAAGATAAAATAAAATAACTGAAATCGAAATTCCTATTTCATTGTCAGATTAAGAGCAGGTTATTTTTGCTAACTACTGCAAGTTCAGCTGTAAGTGAATTTAATCGATTGCTTTTCAGCTGTCAAATGTAATCAGCAATCTCTTTTGGTTTAGTTCCAGCCTGCTAAAATTTCAGATCAGCATCATACTTGAGGGCTTGAGGAGGCCACAACCTAGGATTATCCTAAGGGTCGGGTTTTTGAAAAATGAAAAAATTTAGCTTCAATTTTTATAAGAAACCTCTAACTATTAAAATAGCAAAATGTTTGATGAAGGGTAATAAAAAAAACAACAAAACGATACTGATCAAAAAGCTCCGTTCAGAAAGCAACTGAGCAATAAATATGATTTTGCCAAAGTTTTTTTGGATTTAGACTGTCTTTCGCTGAATTTTAAAAAAAAATCCACAGCTAATTTTAATAGTTTTGACAAAAAATCTAAAAACTAATTTACAACGTTGGTCGGCAAATTGGTCGACCTTTTGAAAACTTTATCGGGTGGTCGACAAAAATTCAATTAGTAAAATAGTGCTAAATGCCTTTGCTTCATTTCTACAAACTTTTAAACCTGAAAATTTTGCCATTTTACTTAGAAAATGACAATTTAAAAAACAACTTGACTGTGAAATACATTTTCAAATAATTTTTTAAAACAAATTTGAAAGCTGCTTCTACAGACAAAAAGTGCAAAATCAGATGCAAAAATAATTCAGGTTTAAATCAAAATTGTTTATCACCCTTGCGATAAGCAAGGGTATTGCAATCGATTACAAAACTTTTTTATCCGTAAATAACTTTCTTCACAGAATAGGCAAAATTAGAAATGGTAATTTTGGATTCGATTCATAAAAATTTTAAATTTATTTGCGTTTTCGGCAGGTTTGGTCTGGAGATAACGAATACGTTTTGGATCGCCATTGGCGTGGGTTCGAATCTAACGGGACATGTTTTTTTTTCCAAAGGGTAACTATTCCATTCCAAAAAAAATGTCGGCTTATTATTTGTCTGCTGATGTTTTGTCAACTTATTCGCCACGTTAATTGCCACATAGTTGCTAAATGTTTTTGTACGCAAGTTACAATGTAGTTGCTGTTATTGTTTTGATTTTTTTCGGCTATTTGTAATTTTACTAGCCTTGACTTTGTGTCTTTGTTTTTTTTTTTGCTTATAAACTTTATTCTACCCAAATGATATTGGCTTACTTTTTATCTGCTTAGTGACTTATTTTTTGAGTAGTTTTTTTCCCTTTTCATTTGCTTGATAGGTTTCGGTCTATCTTTTATCGGTTAATGATCTCATATTGCGTCTTTTGAGAAAAAAATTTGCATGAGCGTGTTTGAGTTTTTTGAGGGTGAGGGTGACTTTTTCTTAGTCATATTAATTTTTTAAATATTTTCTCTCGGCTTTTTTTCGGCTTAAAAGGCTTCCGCCTATAATATATTGGCCTAGTGACCTCATATTGTTTCCTTAGAGAAGCAATTAAAGTTTTGTGTGTGTGTGTTATGAAGGTAAGTGTGTAACTTTTTATTTCTTAAGTCTTGATGATTGTTTTTCGGCTTAAAGTTTTCTGCTTATGTGTTTTTGACTTCGTTACCGCTTGGTAAATTTCTTTTCAATTCTAAGTTGACATAATGTTTCATTGGCTTGTAATATTTCAAAACTAAGTAAATAAATAAAACTATATTTTTCTTTTTGTTACGTCTAGTTTTTTCGGCAGCTCAGGATTTTTTGAAATTTTTTTATATTTGTTTTCGAATTTTTTCTTGCTTATAACTCAAATAATGCAAAGCTCGGCCTAGTTTTTTCAGATCTGCTTATTTTATGGGTAAAAAAAATCAAACGATGTTGCTGACGAGCTGTGTTGTTCAGATGATCAAAAGGCTATCAGGTCTGTCCAAACATAGTCCGTTATTTCCTAATATTCCAAACTGAGTTGTTTTGTTGACTGAAAATCTTATTGGGCGACTCAAGGCCGTTGTTTTATATCTAAAAAATTTAAGCGCTACCACTATTGCAACAGAAATCGATCAGACAGTTCTAGAACTGAAGCTAGGGTTAAAACGAGAACCCGTCCTCACTTGCTATCATTGCCAGGGATCGAATACACAATCTGAGGGTCTTTAATTAAACGTGCTTCCATTATGCTAAGTGCCACTGAGAGTTTCATGCGCAACAAAAACCATATCTGATGCCAGTGCTATCTTTCAACTTTTTTGTAGCTGGTTTTTTTTTAGATTTTGCAGCAAGTTCTAAGAATATTTTTTGACATCGTCTTTTCAAACTCCTCAAAAATTTGCAGGCGTTTACAATTCAAAAACATCCCGTCTACTATTTTCTTTGGTAGATTTAGAGTCTAACGTTGTACATGTAATTAATGTTTGTCTGTAGTGTTTCAGGTTTAACGTGGAATGTAGGGCAGGTTGAATATGAGAGTGTTACGTTACCAATTCAAGTGGATCATAATCGCTTTTTGGTTTTAACACACTTTTAGAAAACCAATGGCAACATTTTTTGGCACATTGAAAATAACTTTTGTTTCAGCAGGTTATAGAAAAAAGGCAGTTTTTAGTTTTACTCTCGTTTTTACTTTTGATAGGCTCATAATTGTTTTTTATATTTTTGTGTGCTACGGTAAGTTTTCATATGTTTTGATGCAAAATAACGGCGAAACGTCAAAATACAATTTGTTGATTTATCTTGTATGGTTCAGAATCAAAACTGACTCTAAGTTGATGGATGGCGGCCAAAATTTGTTCTACTTTTTCAAATATTGCAAATGTTGCTAAAGTCGGTTTGCTAAAGTTGTCGCATTTTGAGTTCCCCCTTCAAAATGCAAACTTAACTACGCATTTCGAAAAATCTAGTTAATTGTTTAACGTGGCAATTTGCAAGAATTGCTTGGATCTTGCGCAAGCGGGATTCTAAAACTGCACTGGTAGCTTCATACCACTTTGCTCTAGGTATACTAGATATATGAAGGAGTTTGAACGTCAATTTAGGCTATTCATTTAAATGTTAATGAAATAAATTGATCGTCAGTGTTATCTAGTAACTATCCTCAAACAAGATCAGTACAAGGTAGACATTTGAATAGTTGTGTAGACTGATCTGCTCATCGATTCAAATTTCTAGATTGATCTGATCATATTTAAGGATAGTTACTAGATAACACTGATGATCCATTTATTTCATTAGCATTTAAGAGAGCAGCATAATGTTTAATTCGCATTAAAAAGTAACAAGTTATCACGAACAATTCGATACACCGTGTAAATTTGAGGCTTCTTTGTTCTCCAAGAATGTTTTTCCAAGAAAATTTGCTATTGGAGAACAAAATCTATCAAAATTATACACATGTCGGAGTATGCGTGTCAAATCGCTCGTTATGCCCTGCTACTTTTTAATGTAATCGATCCCTCCACTTGGTCCCTACTTTCTATGATATAGTTTGGTTGAAAAGTAAAAATGACACAAAGCAAAAAAACGTAGCGTCGTCTCTCGTCTACCAAGGTAGTTGTGCGTCTTCCGTTGATGGCTTATTGAAAACACAAAAATCCATATTGCTGTTCAAAATCTAACTCCATTTGGTTTATCAAAATCCAATAACTTTAGAGTGTCCTCAGACTTTTATATTATCATGATTGCTAAACTTCAGTTTTAGAACTTTTTTTTTAGTCAGATCGAATTTTATAGGATAGTGATTTGTTTAGCTATCAAAGGCAGCGACAGTGTTTTTTAATTCTATAAGGAACTAAACAATGGAAACAAGACTTATCGTGTCAGCTCATCTTTAAATGTTCTGACTGTCTTTTAAGGTCTATGGAAAAAATTTTGTTAAAAAACGATAATTTAAAATGAAAAAAAAATGCCCCGTGGGTTATTCTAAATTCAGAACGATGATATACTTCTTGTCTCAGCTAAATTCAGATGATTTAGTTTTCCGCAAACGTAACAATCCAACAAAATATATCACATGTTGAGTCTCACAAGATTGTCATTTTTCCAAGTCTCATAACATTAGAAGAAAGGTTGCAGCTGATATCTTTTTTAAAATTAGAGCTCAAGATTTCAACTTTTCAGTAAAATTATGAAATATCAGCAAAATGGCTAGCCAAAATTTGACATTTGTCTGAAGAAAAAACAGCACTACAAATTTAAATGTTTTTGTGAGTGGAACGACAAAATGATTTTCTCCCATTGAGCACATCAGGCTACAAACAAATAACATGCAACCAATCACTCTTTTCTTTTCTTAACGAATTATCATTTGCCTACCAATTAAAACCAGCAAGTATCGACACCTTAAACGGTTTGTTTTTTTTTTCAAATTGGGTTAAAATTAAACAAAACATGATAAAGACAAAAATTGCTTTTATTTTTTGCAGAATGGTTCAACTTAATTTGCAGAGTTCGTGAAAAAAAGTATTACCTTTTTTAAGGAATCAAAAAGTACTGTAAAAATAATGGGTCTATAGATGATACAATCGCCTTTAAATCAAATTTTGTTGTTTTACGTAGTTAATTTGATATCTATTGACTATCAAATAGAAGCATATTCATTTAAACAAACTTTGAGAATTCCTCTAGTTTGCCGGGCTACATACGAGACTCAGTTTGATGTATTTTTTTTTAATTGATCCAGTCTTTTTGGCGTTATTTTTTAGACGAACGAAAAAGGATCCAGAAGTGAGCTTTTTACGGTAAAATTTTGCGCCCAATATTTGCAAAAGAAAGTGCACCAAATTAATTCTGCTAAAATTTTGTCTTCATCACGTTTTGTTAACTCGAGGTTCAATCTCGATTTTTTTTCGTTTTTTAACGGATAAACAAAATCTGCTCTGTAGAAAAGTTTGAAGATGCGACGAAAGAATATTAAGTCAAATTTTAGAAAATTATTGTTTAAACAAAATGCCAGCAAAACCTGATCTTTTTCCTATTCCTAAAATTGATATCATCTTACTGATATCTGCTCTCTGCTCTCTTCATATTTCGCCACTTAGTGCTGAGAAAAATCTCAGTTTAGTACAGTGCTGCTATGGCTGAGCGCAAAAATAAAAAAAAATCGGGTCGAGCGGATTCTGGAAATTTCTATTTTTGCCGGCCTTTTTTGAAGTCCACGAAAATGTTTTTCTTTCTGGCTATCAGCAACCACTAAAAAGATCCTATTTTGATCAAATTTTTTGCACCGCAGGCAAAATTCAGAAACAAAACAAGCCAAAAACGAAGTTATTAAGCACTTTTTGTTTTTTCGTTTTGTTTTTTCGGTTGTTTTCGGCGCGGGCTGCCCCCTCAAAAAGCGCACTCAGAAAACTTTTTGGGTCGTTCAGCCAAAAATATATATTTGTTTAATAGTACCTTTGGGTGGTCTAGGAGGAGGGGGCTGCTACTGCTTTCCCTAGAAAAAAAGATAACTCCGAGCGTTTTTTCCCGACACTCAGATAAATTTTCAAAAAATTATGTCATGAAATAAGCAGAATAGGTCCCAGAGCAGAAAAACAGAAAACTATTAACTTTTTTAAGCTAATCAGTAAAAAGAAATATTAGGATTTTCAATATTACCCAAGATTATGCATGAATTGAGTAATTTGAGCATTAATATTTTTTTAGAAACTCAAATAAAAAATTTGAGGAAAACTTACTCAATCGATGTATCATTTATTCTTTTGCTTGGTAGGATTGACGTTCCAAAAATTGTTTTTATCCTTTAGCACGTATAAACTAATATATGACTGTTTTTCTGCACTTAGACCATTATGCTCTTAGACCCTTTATGCTCTTAGACCATTCTGCTCATTGACTGGCCACCTTATGTCATATCTTTACGGAATCCGAGTCATCTTTCCGAGCGAGAAACTTCAAATCGTCCAATAATATGGCACAAACTCGTTTCCTTTTGATCGATAGAAAATAGTTTCAGTTATTTCAATTCTCATAATTACACAAGCGACGTCAGATATAATATGAGTACAAACAGGTTTATAGCAAACAAGAACAACGTTGATTTTTTTTACTTGTTAGCACAGATAACTATTAATCTAAAACAGAAAAAATAATAAAATCAAAATAGGTTGTTCGTCGGTTCAATATATTGGGAAAACTTTAGAAAATTAGCACATTTCAAATGTTTGATTTGAATGGGCCACTTAATTCAGTTGTTCTGATTTTATGGCACAGTAAATATAGTATAAACAAATTTAAATCTGAGAAAAAATGATTAGTTTTAAATGAATTTAGTTTATATTTCATCATCTTTCGCTTTTTCTCGGTTCGTCACTGCTGGTCTCAATGTACACATAGGCCCAGTAGCTGATATTGAATACGATGAAAACAACTGGAAAAATCATTCGGGCAAATTTGTCGATTGAAATGAAGCTTGTCTCTTGTAAACTATGATGAATTAAAAGATCGCCTCCCCTCAGAAGCGGAATATTGTTAAGTTCGCCTGACAGTGGCGGTAAAATGTTATTAGAACGGTCACTCAGAGTTGTATGGTTCGCGTTATGGTCGTTTTTATGGTCACTTTTATGCTTGTTGTGGAACGTATTGTTGTTGTGGTTCTCGTACATTTGAGGCGTTTTCATCACTGGTTTCGGAGGCTTGCTTTTAGCACGAGCGTTTTTGTCGTTGAAAAAATCCGAAACCGCAAACTCCAGCATTGCGGTGATAACGAAACTGAAACTAACCCAGATATAGACGTCCAGTAAACTGGTTTCAAGTGTGATGTGTTTTTCCATATTTTGTTGACTCTGGGTAGCTAAAGTTAACATAGTTAGTACGGTCGTTACACCGACGCTAGCTCGGGCCGGCGTCGCGTTTCTGTTAATCCAGAACGAAACCCAGGATAAAACTACAAGTAGCGCAGCAGGGATGTATATTTGATAAATATACACCGAATACAATCTTTTAAGTTGAATTTGTCCTTCGAGAATTGTGAAATTTGAAGAGTCGTAGGGGGCGGGGTATTTGCTTGTCGACATGCTGATCATTTTGAAACCCATTTCGGACAAGGGTTCGTATTCAAAGGGGAAATCAATGCCCCCCTCCGCTGTTTGTACCCAAAACAGGTCCATTTCATCTTCCGTATAGCCGTAGCTTGAAATTAGAATTTTACAAGTTGTGACGTCAAAAGGGAAGTACCACACTTGAGGCGTGCAGGGCGTAACGAGTCGAATCTTCCGATCTAAATAAACTTCACCGCTCGAAGTGACCGACAGACTCTGAGACGAAGGACTGTAATAAATGGATCGTGCCAGAATGAAATAGGTGTCCGGAATCCAACAAAAGTTAACGGTACCTTTTCCCGACATTTTTATCGTTTTGTTTTCTTTTCCAGCTTCCCTCCAATCATTCCATTGTTCGATCATGTATAAGTCCATTGTCGCGTCGCCAGCGATGTCTCGTATACTTTCAACGTGTAGTTCGATCCAGATTTTGATTGGATACGAAATTTGTTCTGAGTCGGAAGTCGGATCTTTCGTTTCGGTGTCGTTTTGTGAACCAATTTTTTCGATTACTGGTCTCGGCGGCGGCAGGGTGTTTTTCTTGCGGAGAAAGGATTTCGTGCTGAAGAGAATATCAGCGCCGAGACTCGAGTCTTCGTTTTCGAACGAATCTCCCATGTCGAACGAAGCACGAATTGTAATTGGGAAAAACAAAACCCAATAAAACGATAAAATTTCAATTAAACTCCACAGATATCGCATTGTAATTTTCAAAGCAAATTATAAAAAAAATACAGATATTGAAAAGTTTTTCAGTGAAGGACAATTTATGTTGATCGAAAAGGAAAAGAATCGGTCATGTGAAAAAATAGTGGAAGGAATAACAATTCGAAGAACATGTTCCGATAAACTCTGACATTGGTGTACAATTTAATATTCAGGTATAAAAAATTCTGACAGGGGAAAGACTTAAAATGTTGTAAATTGTAACTATCTCTCTGTAGAAATCAGTACAAGGTTGGGTCTCAATCTTATTTAGGACTTCTGAGACTGTTTTCTTATTGAGGGTTAGCATTAAGTCAAATATGGAAACAGCGGAGAAAGGGTGAATCCAGGGAGTTCAAAAGATTCTGAATGAATTTAATTTATTTATGAACTATAACACGGCTTGTTTTTTTCCACGGAGAATTGTTGACCGAAAAAATACAATCACATGAATTTTTAATAGAAGTGAGCGAAAGTAATCAAGATAGAAGGGGTACTTTTTAAATTTTTCTCCTCCAGTTGTTAAAACCAACATGCGTGGGTTTTAATGCAATTTGTTCCAAATTTTGGTTGTCTTCAATGTGGTACAATTTTTATCTCTGTTGTTTATATATGCTGAAAATAAATAATGCAAGGCAGCACAAACACCCTTTTTTATAAAGAAGAAATATAAATCATCGAGGGGACTTAGGTGAAAAAAGTATAACGAAAATTCAACCAATAAGGAAGGACCTTTTCGGAAACAAATTTGGGCAAAATTGAGATGAAAAGTGGACCAATTTTGCGCCCGAGCGGAAATAAAATAAAAGCAAAACGCTCAAAAGCAAAACGCGATAAACTAGGCCGTAAAAAATAACTTAAAATGTGTGTAAATATTAGAATAAAAACGAATTAAGCGCGTATAGCCTTTTTCTTTTTATGGATGACGCTCGTTCTCCTAACAACTTCTGGTAATTTCACTTGACTTCGAACTTAACGGTAAGTAAAGTTACCGGAACTGTTTTGAGGATGGTTTTAATGTGCATAAAGGCTAATTTGGTAAATATAAGGAGTTAAAGGAGTCACATGCATAATGGAGTACAACTTTTTTGGCCAACTGTTTTCAAGGATGCCAAAAGTTTTACCATTATGGTAAGTGCAAATAGACCGACAATGGCATACAAGACTTTGAAGTAAAACACGACATTTGCCAGATATAAAAGACGAGTTTATGGTGGTTATCAGCCGGTTCTACATAAAATAGCAGAATTATTTGCCCGCTAGGGTTAAAATCGCAGTCTTTATTTATAACCAACTAGTTAGAGTAAATTATAATATTTACAACCAGGGAATTTTAAACTAGTCAAGGAACATGGCCGCTATTTTATAAAGCCTTGCGTTGAACATTTTAACGAGTAGTTTGCTTGAAATGGTGGGATTATTCGGTAGGTGAAAATTAGGCCCGTTGGCTACTTCGATGTTTACTTAGATTTGATAAAAACGGTTGACATAAACCCAATTTAAATCCAAGTCATTTTAGGAAGACTTAAGCCAACTGAAACCGTAATGAAATTTCCGCTTTAATTTCTTTGGCACCGTGTTAATGTTGTTTAATAAGAAAACTTGTGTACTCGTTTGAAATCTTCACTAAATAAACAATCTTTGAACTGCAGTCTTTTCCGTTTCCGATTCTCTGGCGACTGTTCCTTCAAACATACGGGAAATGAAATGTTTATCCGTCCAGCTATCCAAATTATCTTTTGTCCTGAAAAATAACCACTGTGCCACAACAAAAAAAAATTAAAATCCTTCCAACATGAATCGATTTTTTTAACGGTTGCTTTAGAGTTCATATCTTTCATGCAACACCAAGTATAAAAACAACCAAGTTATTTTTGGAATAATAAAGACCAAGACAAGTTGTATTAAAAAAAGTTTTTTTTTTTCAATACCACGGACCTTGCGCCTATTTTCATCAAATGTAGAAACTTGAGATAAAGTTATAATAATCTTGTGAATATTTTTAGCTCTTTAGTTGTGCTCTATATTTCAACGGCACATCATGGCAATCAAAACTTTCCTTTAAATTGCACCTTTTTCCACTAATATATGCAAATCTAAGAGAAGTCTGCAAATATTTAAAAAATGCCAATCAAGTCCCTCATACCTTCAAATGATATCCGCTAGCTGCCTCACAGAATAAACAAAATCACAGGTGCGCAACGATTTTGCAAATTGAATGTTTTTTTACACCTATATTTTTTCCTTCTTATTCACTTCTGAATAATTATAACCCTAAGCTTGGAAACCGCCTTATTAACCCTAAGCGTGCCGCAATTTTTTGCACGCTCATAATTCTGGATGCGGCATATAACTCTGGCGTGTAAAGCGCTGCTGTCGCAAAAAAATACGATAATCAATCAATGAAGAAGAAAAATTGCTTCTAGTAGTATTTTTTTTTAAATTTGAAAAAAAGTCTGCAGTAGAAGTATATGAGAGTTATTTCTAAATAGTGACAGAGAGTTATAACTAAATATTGATTGATGACAGCAGCATTGGAGAGGGCAAACTGAAGTCCAAAAAAAATAATCCATGATAGCATCAGATCTTAGTAACACTAAATCTTTTTAAGTATTTCCACCCCTAGGGTACCTACGAATTGCGACTCCTATAAAGAAATAATTCAATGGTTAGGCGTAGTAAATTTGGTACCTAGTAACAAATCCCCCCTTTAGCAAAAAGGGGGAAAAGTTAAACAGATCCGTTACATTTAACACGTTTACTGAAAAAAAAGCTCAAAATAAAAATGCAAAAATAGTGACCGCGCCAACCCCGACCGATATGTGATGGCTCGGGCCGAACACTGAACGCGGTATAGTGAATTGACTGACTCAACTTGGGATCAACCATATAATCTCCCCCCCCCCCCCATCCGTAGCTTTGATGTTCAGACCATTTGAAAAATATACAAGAACTTTGTATTCGGGAGTGTTTTAGTGTTTTTCTTTTTTTCTTTCTTTTTGTTTTCCACGCAAAATCAGGTAAAACAAATAATCATCGGAATGGATTGAGGGATAAACCAAATTGAAGTTCTTTCAATTGTCGTTAGAAGCGACACTGAAAGATTTTCTGAAAATTTTCTCAGTATTGAGAAAAATTGGTTTAAATTTTTCGATTTTTATTTCAATTACTCTAATTTGAAAAAATTCTTCTGATTGGAAAAAAAATGTTGTAATTTTTCGAAGACTATTGATCGTAACATCTGTGCTACTTGCAGAGTAACTGGCTATCCTTGTTTTAATTAATTAGTTTTTTACTACGAGAATTTATTGCACTAGCAACAATCGCTAGTTGCATATGCCGCTTTTGCAACTATCCAAATCTGCGTTTGAAATCAAGGAGGCATTGCAATTGCTCACATGCATTTCGCTATACCGCTAAACTTATAAAAAAAATTGCCTCAATTTTCATAATATCGGGCAGCAGATTGATTGTAAGAAACATTAGTTGTTCGCAAAGTTTTCAACTGATTTTTTTTCTGAAATTAATTGAAGGAGATGGTTAAAATTAATGAACAAACTCAAAACAACCGAAACAGTTGATGTATGTTTCACAATTAGCACACAATTTTCTTACCATAAAAATAACAAAAATAATGTTCATCATTTTTTAGGTTAGAACAAGTTTTTTTTTACTTTTTTATAACAAATTTTGGAGCAAAGCAAGGAAAACGTTTATATGTCAGTCGCATTATTTTAAAACGAAATTAAATCAAAAGAAACAAAATCACGTTTCAAGCATCAGAAGTTAATACAACTTGAACATCAATGAATTATCTGAAAGTAGAAATAATTTGTAGTATCTGAACTAATTTGTAAGTAGATTGTTTTAAGAAAAGGCACCCTAAATAGATATTTTTTTGAAACTTTTGACCAAAAATGGATATATTTCGATTTTGCATGACTTTTCTTTCGACTGTGCGTGACATTTCTTTCGACTGTACTCGACTTATGTTTCGACTGTGCTCGACCTATCTCTCGATTTTCTCGAACTAAGTTTCGACTGTGCTCGACTTATGTTTTGACTCTCTCGACCAAAAGTTGATATGTTTTGAGTTTACGCTCGACTTTAAACTGCTTTTCGAACGGGGAATTTCAGTCGCAAAACTGCACTTGCTCGACATTTGAAGTCGAAACAGAAGTCGAGCACCTCAACTCGGGCAGCAACGATGTTTTCTCTTGAACAAAAAAATGTATGTAATGTTTTAATGGCATTGGATGGTGAAAAATAGAAGCTCCAGCACTACTTGACGAATGACTACAAGAAAGGACTGCCGTTTTTTCTCTGCTCTCGGAATTTTTAAAGAATGTTTATGATTCAACTGAATTTGTACCTGAAACAATTTTGATCTTATGTTTCACTCGATTCATTCATACTTTTGAAATAGTTGGATAATTTTGCTTAAAAAGATTAAACAACGCAACTACGAATTTACTGGATTTTTTTGAAATGTCAAATAATTAACAACAGAGCTACTTTTATATCCAAGAAAATTCGTTTGAAATCATCGAAAAGAGTACAGCGATCAAGCTTTGTGAATTATCAAAAATAACTAATACTGTGGAAAGTAATTTTTACAAAACACCATATTAAAATATCAAGCAAGAAAGAGATTATGCTTCATTCGCAAAAAAAAAAAACGAGGCAGCGCAACAGTGCCGAAGTACAACACTGCCAAAACTGAGAAGGTGTTAAACAGTGCCGAAAGTTGTTGGTGTTTGAAAAAAATCAAGTTTTGTCTGTGTGTGAGTTCTTAGCTATATAGAGTTAATACTGTTTGTTTAGAAGCAAAACCGAGAGGAAATTTTGACAATTTTGCTGACTTAATTGTTCGTTCAGAAAAATTAATAACCCCAGGCTCGAGAAACTTATTTTTACCAAGCGGCAGCAATTAAAATGGTCATTTATGTCTTCTCAACTTTTTGTCAATTTGAATATAATTAATTGTTAGTGATTTGCAATTCAGCAACATTTTGATTGAAAAGACAAAGTTTGCTATTTTAATTGATGCCATTTGGTAAACAACTAAATTTTCCTCAAGCGCGGTGTCGAAACGTCCTCTGAACAAGCAAATATCTAAGCAAACTGTCAAGTTTTTTTTCTCAGTTTCGCTCCAAATTAAAAGAGTATTCAAACAAAACTGCCAAAAACTCATAAAGAGCTCACAAAAACTTTCAAATATCGACTTTTTTGCAATATTGAACACATTTGCAGTTTCGGTACTGTTTTACTTCGGCACTGTTGAACGCCACCTTAAAAACAACGCAAGCCAAAATCCAATTTGCGAGACATTTTTCCAAAAGCTTGCTTGCCCTTATATGAAGAAAAAATGTTTTTGCTTCATTCGCTCTATGTTAGTTTTTGGATTAGCCATTTAAAATAACTTTGTGAAAATTTATATGACGAAAAGACTTGGGCTGTTAGGAATATTTTGCAATCCTCCTATTTGATTTTCAATAAAAGAGAAACTATTCTTACGTTGTCACAAAGAAATTTGCATGTTGAACAAATTAAACACAATTGTTCTTGATGTCTTCGACTGTAACATCACGGCTTCGGCCATAACAGCACAGAAGATAGCTAAAAAGAAAAAAAGGAAAAATTTGAACTGTGGAAAAGAGCAGTTTTTGTTAGCATTCTGGTAAGAGCCTAATTATTTTCGTTAGTAACTTGGCGTACTACTGAATGACAGAAGCAATACTTTCAATTTCTGCGTGTACTCCATAAAAGCCGGGTAATTGATATTTGACACATTTTTGATAGTTTTGCTTAGTTATTTACGCTTGCGATTAGCAGGCGTTATCAAATTGGAATGTAAACTTTTTTCAGGTTAACTACTAGTTTAACAAAATCTGTTGAATCACTTATGATGCTGCTCTCACTTATGATTCTGCAAAGCTGAATTGTTCAATTTCATGACAATTTGAGTTTAACTACTGAGTAGGTACTTGTTACAAAAGAATAGTTTCAGGGGGTACTCGAAACTTTAGAAAAAAATCAACAAAACAAGTTTCTTTTTCGGCTCAACTGGTGTCTGCTCAAAGATTGTCGGACTTGTTTCCATTAATTATTTTGTTGTTGCTAATTTAAAATTGAATTTTCCTACAGGTATTATGAAAACAGGATTTATGAAAATGTTTGGTATTGGGTTTTTTTGAGACGCTTTGGAAAATTTTATCACTTTTCCTAAAATTTTTTTTCTTCGAAAAAATCCTTCTACCGATTTTCAAAAAAGGATCCATAGAAAAAACGCCAAATCTCTTTTGTGCATGCATACTACGCTGGTTTCCTTTTGCTTAACCTCTTTGTCTACAGCCTTCGAGATTGTCTATGATGGTATATTTTAACGACATTTTTGAGTTTTTTTGTTTTCTCAAAAACTAACCAACCAAATCTAACATTTTGGTTTCAATGAATAGAATGGATATAAAAAGCTCCCCTCCATCAGCGGCTAAGCCTAATCTATAACATTATGGCCATAAGAATAGTCAAGCTTTTGATAACTTTTGACCGTTTTTTTGAATTTTTAAAAAAAATTTCCCAAAAAATAACATTCCAAAAACTAACATTCCAAACCTGAGGCTGTGGATTCAATGAAGATAACGGGTAGTGGGAAGCTCCCATGTATTAGCAATTACTCAGAATTTTTTAACCAAAAAAATATCGTCCTTGAAAAAATCGATTTTTGATGTTTTGAGCATATTT